AAATTCAAAAACTGCTACTGAAATTAAATCAAGACGTAATAGTATAGTATTATCTCAGATATGTCAGATCAGTTCTGCCAATCCGTGTATTTTAATTATTTGATTGAACGAAAAATGCATTTTATCAAAAAAATAGTAAAATTTTAGTAGAGGAAAAAATTTGAAAAGTTGCAATGATAAGTGACAGCAAAAAATATAAATAATAAAAGACTAAATATTCGCTTGCGATTGCTATCAGTTAATAATTTTTATGATAAAGGTGGCTGTTAAAAGATAAAACGTATAAATATGCTTAATAATAATGATTGCTTATGGTGTAATAATGAATATAATGATAATATTATTAATAGTAATCAATAACTTAAATAATAATAATAATAGCAAATTAATAATGATAAATAATAGCAGTTTTAATGATAAGAGCAATAAATTATAACATTTGAAGTGTGAAAATAGTAGAGAATAATCATAAGATTTGTCACTATATATGCCAAAATATCCATTGTGCGCAAAGGATTAAAACGAATGAAATGTGCGCGAAATGAGCTCTAATTCATTCACGTATTTATTTATTTTCCCACAATTTTCCAATAGTTTTTTGCTAATTTTTTCCATTGTATATATGCAAATTTACGAGCGCTATTATTTCTAATTCAGAACTATTACATTGCAAAAAAAAATCGGTTAAAAATATCGTCAAAAAAGTAAGTAGTAAAGTATTCCTTTATAAAATATGAATATATGATCACTTTGTAATGTTATTGATTAGTGTTGCATAATGATTTATTAATGTAATTAATGATAAACTGTAATATTGATTTAAAAATATAAGTAAATTGTTACATAATAATATTAATAATAATAATAATAATAATAATAGTAATAACGATAGCTGCATGATTTCTTAATATGGTGGAGTAATATTTATGATTATGCACATAACTAATCATGATCCGAAAAATTGATCAGGAATATTATTATTGATTCCTGCGCTAAAATCAATAAAGTTAGACAAATGCATAAATTGCAATTGAGTTATCGAATAATAGAAATGGTTTTTGCCTAAAATTTGAATAATTTCACGCAACTGCGAATGGCCGATGAATTGATTTATTCTGCGCTGTAAACCATAAATTTTTCTCTAATGAATTATTCATTTTTTACAGTATAACCACTTGATATTTACGCAGGTTTAACGTGTTTCACGTCAATGCTAGTAGATAAATTGAGTTTAAATTTGTATTTGTTGGTTTCGGATATAAAACTGAACCAATCCAGCATTAAAAGCTACCATTTGTACTGTTTTCATTAATCTTTTGAAAGTTTTCATACAAATTTCAATTTGTTTGCTCTAATATTTTATAGTATTTGTGCTGATTTGTATTTAATTTTTATAATTTTGGTATGTTTAAATCTGTGATTAAATTTAATTTTAAAGCTTTCAATTGAAATTCAACTACTTTATTTCAGACTCAGTCTGACAAAAAATAAGAATTTAGTCAGCAAAAAATTTAAATAATATAATTAGCAAAAAAAGATTTACTTTTTTGTTATTCTGTGATCATTTGTTTTCCTTTTAGTACTTATGCTGCATTTTAACTTTATAATTAAAATAAATATTCATTAATTATTTTGCATTTTAATTTTATGCCTACTTTTATCTTTGCTTTGTGAACATAAAAAGTTTTAATGAGTTAATTAAATTGAAGTATTTTTGTAATCATAAGACTGTATTTTTATTTGTACACTTTTATTCAGTTTGCACGAGTGCTATCAGTTTAGTATATAAATGTGCTTATCAGCGAAACATTTTTTCAGGCAAATAAGTATTCAGAAATTAATTTCAACTTTTTCATTCACGTGTATTAGATTGAATACAATTTGCTCTGTGTATTTTACGTGACGTGAAAGTTTTCTTTACTTAATGAGTAAAATTAAAATATTGTTCATTATCAGTTGTTTTTTTTATTTTCTATTTTAGCAGAACTATCGCATAATTTTGATGATTCAGAGCAATTCGATCATACGATGAGATCATTTCTTCAGTAGTAATAAATATGTAGCCACTGATTAGTATTGATTTATCGAAGTTAGCTCAAAAAATGACCGATTGATTGATTATTGATTGTTTGCATAAAGCTTAGTAAGATTCATAATTCCAACTTTTTTAAATGATTTTTTTGCTCACTATGAATGGTAACATTTTAGTGCTAGCTTTTAAGTGAATTCATACTTATGCTTCTTTCCTTCTTTGTTTACAAGCAGTAAAACTGTCTCGATTATATTGCATATGTCAACTTAAGGACTTCTCTTCAGCATTATTTGCCAATGTTATCAAATTCAATTAAAGTAAAAATTAAAATAAGACTAAAAATAACGACAAAATTAGATTAGACTCTAAACAATACTAGATTAGACTGATAATTTGTTAGATACAATAATACTAATTGTTTGCATTTGATTAAGAATTGATTTTGTACAGTTTTATTGGTTTTCTTGATGTCATTTTTATCTTTTTTTTATTTTAACAAAACTTTTATACGAATTTCTGTTCAATTATTTTTCTTCTTTTAATTGCACTGACCATCAATTCTTGAGGTCATTTCACTTTATAAACACCTCTTCATACATCCACATATACACATATAATGCACATGTGACCTTATTGTTCATCAAATGACATTATAATTATTTTGAATTAATTCAAGGATTTTATATATAATTTTTTAATTCTTAATTCTTACTAGCAAGTGATAAAATTAAAATTGCTATATTTTATTTATTTTTGAATAAGCATAAAATTTTGTTATGCATAAAAATTGCTATATAAGTAATTAAGTATAAAAATAATAGTACAGAGTTGGAGGGAACAACCTGTTTCGCCTTAGTCACATTTGGTAACAAATTTTGCTCACATTTGAGCGCATTTTATTAAATATTACAACAAAAATTTGTTCTACGACACACGCCTCCAACTGAAAATTATTTACTTGTACATTTGCAAAAATTTTCAATTCATTCGTCCTTCTGAATTCATTCATTCATTTATACGAAGAATAATTCTTTGCGTTATCACTTACAATTCTGAAATTTAATTCAATTCCTGAATTTACTGCAAAAGTTTTTCATCTTATTCACTGATTATTAATATTTTTTCATCTATTATCATCAATACTTTTATCATTAATCAGTTATTATCTATTTAATATAATCTACTGATTGTAATTTTTTATTTAAATATTTGAATATTTTTACTGGAATTATTATACTGCTAAAAAATTAATTAAAAATGCATGAGAAAATATCTCGTCTTACTGGTATTTTTGCAGCTAATAAATCTTCACAACAACAACAGCAACAACAACAACAACGTAATAATAATAATAATAATAATTTATTACAATCAAATATTAGGAATAAAAATAAAAACGAAGTAATGTCATCACAAACATCGTCATATTTATCAAAGTCAAATACTAAACAACAACAACAGCAACAACAACCTGTTCAACATCAGGTAGATGTAGACAAGATTAAATCCAGTAGTAATGGTGATTCGAACAAATCACCACAATCACCACAGTCAGTAGGATCAGCGGTCGAAACAGTCGTACGAATGAGAAATAATAAACCATCTCCACCTCATGATCAGCAACAGGTAAGTAACTTTTTATTTAACTATGTTAATTTTAATAATGTTAAGAATTCTCAATATTTGGCACAAAAAATTGTAATCGTAAAAGTTTCCTTGAAGTAAAATCAATTTTAAACGTATTTCATATTAATATTAGTTTTGTACGTGGTAATCATTTATTTTGTACTTGGTATATCATTAATGATTTTATATAAAACATTTGAATGATCTGTTAATGAATTTGATTTTTTGTAAAAAAATTTACGTTAGAATAATTTGGTGAAAGTAAGTAAATAGAAAGAAAATATTATAAGATAATGCGAATTCATATTTGAAAGCCATTGAAATACACCAACTTCAATTCTAGATCTACTTGAGTAGACTACTAATATAAGAATCACTTATAAAACTAAATTAGTATCTGTAATGCACAGATATTTTAGAAAATTGTAAAAATTTGATAGCTTGAACTTTAGATTTAAAGAGATTAAGGGGTCAAGTAGAGGATGAAGGAGGTCGAGAAAAATTAGCGCACTGGCTTGAATATTCAGCAACATTTCTCAAACATAAGTATTTGTAATAGTAGACTGAAAGTAAAATTAACGAGTGGACAATTGACGAGAGTGAATGTGTAATTTGCATAACTGAAAGAAAGCTTAAATCAAAAAAGTATCATTATTTCTTCTGATTTATTTTTCAGCAATTTCATTAAATATAAATATTTACTTTGCTAATAAAAGTTAAGCTTTTTACTTACTTTCAGTCATTTAATAATTTATTTTATGATTACATTTTATAATGCATAATAAAAAATGAATTAAATTAGTTTTTTTGTTACTGTGCATAATTATTGCACAAAAATTTTGTTTATTGCTATTTTGAGTTTTCAAATACTTTTTTTTATTATTTTAAAGAATATATTTCAGTTTTTAAAATAAACAAATCCATTTTGATTTAAGTATTTAATTCTCAAACTGAACTTTTTCATCGGTTTTTATTTTTAATCTCTAATGTTTTGTATATTTTTGCAACAATATGATTACTTATTTTTATTCAAATATTTGTTCTTCAAAATAAAGTTCTTAAAATCTCGAAGTAAAAATTAGTGGTAAGAATTTTTGTTGCATAGTCTTTTATCATTTTTCCTATTTGATTATTAATGAAGTGATTCTTACTTAATCTAGCCATTTATTAATTTAATTAATCAAATGATTTATCAACTTTTTCAAAATATAAAAAATAACGGTTTAACTTCATTACTATTTTAGTCTAGGTGGAAGGATAAATTTTACGAATAGATCAATTAATTTATTACGTTTAATTGAATTAAAATACACCTTTAACGTTATTTGGACTTTTTAGGTAATAGCAAATGGTGTAAAATCGGAAACAAATGGTACTGTGAAAGATAGTGCACGTGCTGTTCTACAACGTGGCCTTGAAGTACTAAGTGAAATTACGCCTGAAGATGACGGAAGTGAAGGTAAGCAAACTTTAAAAAATCAAAAAATTGTAAGTTCTTTAATGCTTCAGTAAATAACAAAATTGTGATATTAACGAGTAATAGAATCATCAAAAATGTTTAATATGTATTACGGTGAAAATTAATTCTTGCCTTTCTTATTTATTAAAAATAAAATTTTTCGGTTCATTTAAAGTAAATTTTTTTAAGCTTTCAGTGTTGTAAGAAGTAAAAATTTTGGACTATTCTGCAGAATAAATAAAAAATTAAATATAATTTTTAAAAGCTTTTAAAAATTTTTGCTTTTTTGAGTGCTCATTGAACTGGCTTTGGCAGTAGTAATATTCAAAAGTGTGTAGTTGAATTGAATTGAATGTAAAATTTTTTTTTGAACAAAGTGAAGTAGACAGAAAACTGGTTGAGAATATGCATAAATTGTGATTCATTTCTATATTTTTTATTTTATTTTTTTTTCAAATTTTCGTTTTTTTCTTCAACACTGAAGGAGACTTTTGATTCATTGGGATAAAGTTTCCTGTTTATTTTACTAAAGTTGAATTGTACTGTCATCTTACCATTATATAGTAATGTATTTAAATCATCAATAAAATGGTTTATGCAAATATTTATAAAATTATCAATATTCAGATCAATCAATAATGTTGATCTACATGAATCAATCACTGATTAGCAATTGTGACTAATTGCATAAACATGAAAATTATTAAACATATTATATTACAAAATTAACTAATTTGTCAATTTGAAATTATATATTAATGAATTTAAGGTATCATGAAAATTATTATAAGCAAATATTTTCCGAGTTGTTTTTAAATCAGTCAAATAACACTGTTACTGAATTTTATCAAATGTAATTCATATTATTCTTGTGGTATTTGATAATTGCTCTAAATATAGCATCTACACAATGCTATTACCGCCAAATATAAATATTATTCTCGCCATTAATATTATTTTCATACTATCAATTAATGCTTTTATACTGTATCACTGAGTATTAAGATTAATGTCAACATATTAATTATGAAGTTTTAGCTATTTTGTTTTTGAGAAGTAAATTATGAACAAGTATAAAAATTAATTGGCAGTATTCTGTCTACATGAAAATGATTCAGTGATTACTTAGTTTGTTTTATTAAAGTTGTTAAAGAACTTTCTTGCAGAAATTCGAAAACTTGATTCACAACTAGATCATTTGAATCATTATATGGACAAAGTTGAAGAAAGAATTAAAGCACATAATGAAAAATTAATGGATACTTTAAGACAACAACGAGAGGAACGTGAAAAAAGACGTCGTTCATTTCATGAGGTACCAATTGAATACTTTTTTTAATCTGAAAATTTCAATTTTATTCATAAAAAATAAAATTGCTGAAATTTTAAAAATCTCCAAAATTTTTCTTTTTTTTCCAAAAATATTTTTCAAATTTTATTTGCATTTTATGGTATTGTAAAAGTTTAACGCAAATAATGAACACAAAAGGTAACGAGCATACAAATTCCGGTAACAAATTCTCTATACAAATAAATTTTAACATAAAATTGGTTTTTTTAAGAGTGCAATTGTTACCAGCATTCACGTATTTACGTATGTAAATACGTATGGATGTGCATGCTGAAAATAAAACGCTATTTTGAAAAAATTTATGATAAGATATGAAAATCATTTTAAATTTATAAATTTTGATTATATCAGCTTTACCGCTATATCAATTTGTTATTTACCAATTTAAAAAAAAAACAAACTTAATATTTATTGAACTATTTTAATGCAGACAAAGTACTCTCAATTAATACTGATCTTTAAAGCTTTTTTTATTACTGATCTTTAAAGCTATTTTGCAAAATTTGAAAAAATTCTTGATAAATTTCTAAATATTTTTAATTATTTCAGTGCATTAAAGCCAATTGCAAATTAAGCTTATTCTTTGAGAATGCTAAAAAAGCATTCATTAAAAGTCTAAATTAATAATTCATTGCCTTGTCCATGCATGGACTTTTAATTTTAAAAAGTCCGCGCAGAAATATTGGCAGAATTTGAAACATTTGAAAAAATAACTTTTTTTTTGCATTTTTGATTTTATTTAATATTCTAAAATTAAAGTTTTAGCTTGTAGATCAGTTGTTATAAATTTTGTAAATTCCGTTTTCAAATAATGAAGTAGTAATTCGATTGTAATCAAAATTAATTAGTTAATTAATTAATTAGTCAATATCCAAATTATAAAATTTTTTCTGTTTTAAATGTTTTTATATTTTTAGCAATAGATAAACTATATTACATTTACATAGTTTAATCTTATTTTCATTTTTTCTCAGAACTTTCATTCTGCTCATGAAAGTTAATATTCAAATTTGTTTACAAACAACTAAGTAATTGATGTTTATTCGTTTGAAAATTAATAACATTTAATTTTTTTACAAATTACAACATTAAAAAATGCCAAAAAACTAAAAGCTTAGAAAGTTTTAATATTTATTATTTGTAATTAAAATTGGTAAATAAATAGTAGTTAATGAGTAGAGTAATTTTTTGCACACAAAATTCATAAAAGTTTCGGAAAACTTTTGTTAAAAAAAGATATAAATTTTAAAAATAATTTATGCTTTAAAAAAATAACACTTTTAAAACTATCGTTATTTGTTATTTGTAAAGAAAATGAAAGTTTTTAAGTATTGTAAAAGCCTTCTTCATCATTAAACATAATTTTGTCCTTAAAATTTCCATAAATTATTATTTGAGAATGGAAAAAAAACTTGATGTGTTATTTACATTGGCCTTAAATGTAAATATTGACTATTAAAAAATGAATTATTGACTTAAAAAGAATTCAATTATAAGTTTTTATTGTGTCAATATTTTGTATTTTTGCTTTTAACAGAAATCATATTTAAATTTCTAAAAAACAAAATCTTTATTTTTTTAATTAATTGATTAGAATTATTTTTCAGATTTAATTGATTTAATAATATATCTTTTTGCTCTTTTGATCAATAATTTCTACATTTTTTGAAATAAATAAGTAATTTTGAAAGTATTTAAGTACGCTCCAAACTTTATATTTTAACCCTAAAAAACACATTTTAATTACGTATACGTTTATTCAAAAAAATTATTAGAGTATTTTTTTACTCTGATTACTTTAAGCGATTATATTTGCGTATTATTACTGACTAAATTTATATTATTCCAAATTAGGTTGGAAGATTTTCGACTATTTCAAAGTTTGAGTCTACTTTAAATATTATAGAATACGCTTAAAAACAAAAATTAATAAATTGCGCAAAAAATTTATCGAATATTTTTTAATTAAAAAGTACTGAATACTTAAAAACAATAATTATTGAACATTTTGTTCAAAAAATAAACTTTATAAAAACTTATCGTTTCCACAATAAAGTTGATACTAGATTGTAGTGTTCTAATCTCTAGATTACAAAAAAATTGTAAAATTAATAGCTCATAAAAAATTGTGGCAAAAATTACTAAATTACTTGTTTGTATGCAAATTTATTTTAAAAATTACAAAGCATCAAACAGTATTCAAGCGTTCATTTGAAACTTTTTCAATTACAGTACTGAACAATTTTTGCATATTTATTTCAGATTGAGGTCAGAGATATTTTTTAAGCAGTAACAAAATGTGTTACAATTCTAAATCGTCAAAACAATTTTTTACTTTTTCCGAAATAGAAATTACAGTAAAAACTGTACTGAAATCTTTGGTAGCATTACATACTGTTATTTTTGAAATGGACTTCAAAGACTTCTATTTTTTTCACGTATAAAAAATTTTGTTTCAATTTCAAAATTTGAATATTCTTAATTTATAGCGTATCGCAATGAACCAACAAGAAGATGATGATTTTCAACGGCAAATTTCAACACTTCTGAATCGCGTTGGTATTTCCAAGAATCGTGCATCAATGTACGAAATTATTAGTGAAATGGAAATTCCCAAAACTAATGGGTAATAAATAATACGTGAAAGGCCACGTAAACCCGATTGCAAATAATGAATCGCACCAATCTATTACACAAAGCTGGATTATTTTTGAAAAAAAAAACTACAAGATTCATATATCTTGATGCAGTAGTTCCGCATTTGCTTCTAGAATAAAAAAGCATATTTAACAAATTGTTTTGCTATCGAAAAAACGACCATTTCTTTTCTTTCTCTAAAAAATCATAGCTTAAGTTTTGCTTATTTCTTGTTTTATACAATCATATACAAGTAAACACCAAACTTTCAAGAATACAGATTTAACAGCTTCATTACAACGAGCTTTGTTAATGAATTACACTTCTTACTGTAATTTGTGATTATCCATTTTCTACACGTACTTTCAGTATAGCAGCAACTCTTAATAACTTTTGTTCACTAAGCAAGTGAACGATTCACTTACATTTTTTGCTTTCCATCTTTACATGTAAACAGTATATCTGGTAAAAAGTTAATCCCCAGTAATTGTTTAACATACTTGCAAACCATCTTCACTCCTCACTCTCAATAATCTCCCTTTCATGTCTTATGTATGTAAGCATTCATGAAAAAATAACTTCCACTTTCTCGATTTCGTGTCTAGGCTTTTGCATAAATTAATTATTACACTTCTCTACAAATCATATCATTTTTTTACTTCAATGAAAACAGAACAAACAGATCAGTAGATGAAGATTAACAAACAAGAACATTTATCTTTATTATTCTTGTAATCAACAAAAAACATCACAATATAATTCAGCACAAGTGGAAATTTAATCAAAAAACACTTTTTCGACTACACAACACAAAAATCAACGCATTCATTCAAGGATCATTTTTGCGATAAAACTCTTACTTCACTGACTGATTATCATGACATCCTCATCATAAAATAACTAGTCACGTTGTAAGTCAACGATATTCAGGTAATATACATCTAGTAACAACAATCATCCTTTGCAAAATCATACCATAATTATAACCACAATGCCTTGACAATCAAATTTTAACCGGTAACGGCGCCAATTATTCTAAATATTTCGACATATAAGGACCATCCAACTCGTAACCCATCCTTCTAAAAATGCAGCATTAATGATTCCATATTTAGAGAGTATAATAAAAATGCCAAGTATGATTATCTGTCAAATGGAAAATCTAGATTAACTTATTATAGTTTCTGAAAAAGCAGTACACTACAAGCCAAAGCAGTGATACTATTAACAGTTTTAAAATTACCAGTGTTCCAAAATATACTAGTCCGTTTCAACATGAAAAGAACTTTCCGAGCTCTATAAGTAGCTGGATTTTCAAAATATGATTTAAAAATATTTATCGCAACTAGAATCTCTTTCTTAAATAAATGATCCACTGGAAATTATTATGATGTTGACTTAACAAAGTTCCTCACAAAAAGAATAATGTAGTGGCGAGAACTTATTTCTTTAAAGGATATAAAGACACAAAAAAATTCATATAAGGTGGTAAATAAAAGCTTGATTTCATTACTGTAAAATTTTCGCAGCAACTGCAAGAATTTTTCTTCAGCAAGTTTCTTATCCGATTTAAGATGCGGTAGCATATCACGTAAGCAAGTAAAATCGAAAATTATTTTGAAAATGTAGAAAAATTCTGATATGATGATGTTGTCCGGATACACTTATTTCAATTTAAAACTTTTCAGAAAGTTGTGACAAAATGCATAAAGTTAAAGAGCAAATGAACCAGTAACAAAATGACTAATGAAAAGCTAAATTTCAAAAACTTAATTTGCTTGCAAGGACAGACTCAAAGTGTTTTAGTATTCTGAACGAAATACTAATAAACTACACAAAACTAAATTCATCTAAAGCTAATTCTTCAGTAAGCAAAATCAAAAATTTTCAAATCTAACTTATAAAATGTGTTAGCTTTAAAACAGACATCAAACATCTTATTTTGCTATATCTCATATTATTATTCGATTCTCTTCTACCTGATGAAACAAATAAAAAAAATATAATCGAAAACTTGAATCTATGATTATGCACTTCCTTATCATTTCAAATCATAGTGTATTCACCAATTCCATTTAATAAAATCCATTTTTTAACGACTATATGAACAAAATGCCTTTTAAAGCATTCTTTTTAAAACTTTCCACTACTTCTTCTACAATGGCTGCCATAATTTCTCAAAAATCAACGCTTTATTTTCAACAAGAACATTTAAAATGTTTAATTCTGAAGTACTTCTTCCAATAAAGTATTCCTGACTTTTGTTCTAAATAAAACTAATTCCAAGTAATTAGCAATCCCTTCACTCGCAACAGTATGAATTACTGTAGAGCAAATAATGCGCAAACATATTCTTGTCCATTTGAAAATGAGTAAAAATATATTCATTAAAGGATGACAGAGACCAAAAATAAAATAAAATAACCGGTAATAATTTCTTGTGCCTACACCGGATATGATTGCAAGTTTTTTGCTAAAATGTTCTTCTTTTGCTATTCGCTCTGCTTCTTCAACAAGCAACTGCCCAAATCCTTGATGTTGAAACTTTGATGGATCGCGAGCCGATACTGGTACCACAGACCCGTAGACATGAAGTTCACGAATAATTGACACCCCATTCTGCAAAAAATCCATCTTATTCAAAATCAACAACAGTGGTAACTAATATTAAATGCTAGAAAAATAGAAAACTGATTTGAGAATAAGTCATAAATACAATCCTCAGTTTAAGTTCACCTAATTCTTTTTTAGTTGCACCCACTTAAAACTTAAAATTCCATGTTTATCGCGTAAGGAGCTCCTAAAAACTTTTTGGATGATATTACTAACAAAAAATTATTCCACTACTTAAGGTTTTACGTTTTTTCATTTTCTATTAAAATTTCGGTACTGATAAAACAAGTATCACAAAGTTTTAAATGATACTGTTAGTTTTAATTCACGAATTTACGTAATTAAACAACTAAAAAACAAGGAATGGAGAGAAAAACAATGCAAATTCCAGTAAAAATTTTAGCAAAAAATAAATTTCTCATTCTAATTTTATAAATTTTTTCTACGCTACTTACACTTTTTAGCTTTCATTCTCATTTTTATAATTTTTTGGTTAGCTGAAAAGGCAATGAAAAATAAAAATGAGATGAAGTAGAAAAGTGTTCTGTGGAAAATTTTGACCAATTCTGAAAAAATTCAATTTGTCAATATGGAAAAACTTTGCAATGCTACACTTTTCACTTTTAATCCAAAACAGAAAACTGAGAAAGAAAAATAAAAATTAGAAAACATAAGTTTTCATAAATAACAAATAAATTTATCGTATAAAAAGCGTTGTAAAAAATCACTTTTTAAAAAATAGATTACAGATATATCAATTTTACTTGTCTAATAAAGTAATAAAAATAAGGTAGCCTGGATAATGTGAGGAAAAATTGAGCAGGATCTATATTTATTGTCTCTTATTTTTCTCTGATATATGTCCTAAATAACTAGAAATAATATAAATAGCTTCGAATTTGGTTACGAAGGAATTTTTTAAATTTATATATTCCATACAATAGAATAATTAGAAACTTTTACGCATTCCTGAATTTGTTTTTTAAAAGACAATATTACTTCTCCCATTTACTCCTCTATTTTTGATAAGTTTCATTGACAAGCTCAGCTATTGTTTTCGAAGAAAAATAAGTCATTTCTTACTATTAACTGATCTTATGACTATAAAAGCAATTTTTCTAATCCAATTAAAATTTCTGACTCCTAAACTTTTGTTAACTTATTAGTTTCTAGTGAACCAAATTAGGTTCCGAATAACACGGTCTTTACGCTTTTAGACATATTTAATGTTACAACCAAAAGCATTAAAGACAAGTTTTTAAAGTTGAGACATGTTAAGCTTACAATTCAAAGATATTCAGTGCGTATTAACATCACAATATACAAATCGTTTGCTGAAGATTTTTGGACTTCAAAACAGCTCGAACTCAATCAAGAAAATACGCAAATAGAATGACACTTGTAGTTATATTTTCAAGCATAATAAAGATTACTATTCATGTAAATCAGTGGGAAATATACCTTTAACTCGGGTCGATGAACTTTATCACTACACTTCCGCAATCTTAACAGACCAATTAAAATGTCCTGAAATAACAGCTGTAAATGTCTAAAAGTTGTAAAAATGAAAAATGTGATAAATAATTGATACTTTACCATGAAATTAACAACAAATGATAAAAAATGTGTAAAAGAAACTTGTTCAGGATCTTCATAGGAAATAAACGTTTCCCATCCTCCATTAGCAACGTAATCTCGACGAATCAGTTCTACTTGATAAGGACGGATTTTATTATGTATTTCCTAAGATTATATTACAGTTTATACCGACTATTAAAAAAGTTTTGGAAAATGTACAATAAAGAATATTCAATGAAAAAATTTTGTAGGAGAAATATGGCAGAATTTATATTTTAAGAACTAAAGGCTTTCCGTAAAAGTATTGTGTTGTATTACGAATGTGTTTTCTAGTTTTAAATAATTTTTTCCCTGAATTAAAATTCTGAAAAAACCTTGCAAATTACAATTCTGTAGCGCTGAAATACTTCTTGGCTTCATCTCAACCAAAAGAATTTAAAATTCAATTCCACTGAATCATCAAACAAAATAAACGCTTATTGCAATGCAGCTCAGAAATGTTTCATTAATTTTTAATCTATACCTGAATTCCAACTTCACGGGTCCTTACATCACGACACTTAGTTCCCAACTGTTTCATGCGCGCAAGTGCATGCTCACGCAAGTTTCCGTATTGCACTCCACTAGTTACAAGCGGCATCGGTATATCACGCTGTACGCGATAAACACGAGTCCATGGAGGAATCAGAGCCAAAATTCGAGCTGTCAGATCAACCAAAATCTTCAAGGAAATTACTTAAAACACCAAATATGGTTGCATTATTTGAAGATAAATGGATTTATTTTTTTGAAAATTTTCAGTATTCTCACAAAAAGTCCAAAATCTGGTCGAAATGCAATGCAGTGGTATGCATGTAAAAAGAATAAAACTATCTTTGAGCTTAAAAAATACTTGACAATAACAACTACATATTTTCTACTAAATGTTGATGCTCATACTTTATTGCAACACTAACAATGAAAAAAAAAACCAAAAAATGATGCTACAGAATCTTTAAAAGAACCTCCGGAGGATAACTTTTATAACGCCCTGTTCTCCACAGCTCATATAAGCCAGTTCCACGAATGACTAAAGTCGGATATATTTTAAGACCATCTGGTCGAAATGCTGGATTTTCAAAGAGCTCAATGAATTGTTCCATGTCACGATCAATCGTAACGTTCGGCAAATTTGGCATCATATGTATCACAACCTTATAACCTGTATCTTTTGACATTTCAAAGCAATCACATACTGCTTGTACCTATAAAGAATTTTCGAAAATAAGGAAAGTATGGCTCATATACAAGAACAAACAGAGCACTACTCATCGCAAACGACAAAGGTAAGGAATATATTAAAACAATGTTAAGCATATAATATGTTTTTAACCTTCATGAGTTAAATGTTGCTTTGCATTTCGTAAAAACTTAGGACAAATAAGTACTAAAAAAGGTAAGGATACAAAGTAAAAAAAACTGTAGCACAAAAGGTGGAAAAAATAACAGACTAAATTTCGAATTAAATCAAAGTTTAGAGCTAACAAATTCTGTTTTTAGTCTAAATATAACTAAGGTGATAACATTACTAACTACTTCTAAGCATTAAAACTGAAAATCAATACTGTAATCGTGGTTTGTTTAACAATTACAAAATTATTTAACTGCTAGAGCTATTTAGCAATCTGTCATATCAATTACAATTAAACTGATTTTTAAATATTTCTCAATATTTAACGAAACAGATAATACAAAAGAATTATTTCCGAAACATACGGTATGGCCTCTATTTGTATCCCTTGCAACATCCTCGTATGTTGACTGTACACCAATTTCTAGCCTTGTACAACCATAACTTAACATCTGGTCCAAATGCTTTGGTAAACAGTAATCAGGTCTTGTTTCAATTGTTATCCCAATACATTTCACCTTGCTTCGTTCACTGAATTCGACTGCCTGATAAAAAAATAAATTTGTATTGTCTCAAGTATTCTTTTAACATCCTGAACACTGAAAAAGTGAATCGAGAAGCTGCTTTTTTCAATATTTAAACAACATATTACAACTACAAATAAGTCACTAATGATCAAAAAAATAGGTATTACAAAAAAAATTAAATATAATATAATTATACCAACTTCATCAACACTATTACTGCAATGACCAGATAATGCATCATGGAGATTACGAATGAAATAATCCCGATAGTCATCTGGTAAAGACATGAAAGTCCCTCCCATGACTATAAATTCAACCTGAAAACAGTATCAAAAAATGTAAGAAACCTAGTAACCTTTAGTTATGTTAAAATTTGTGGTAAATTAACATCTCATGGATGAAAAAATAAAACTTAAATTCTGTGGAAAAACTGAATGAAACTTCGAAAATTACGGTAACTTTCAAAACTAAATCATACTAACACCAAATAAAATTTTATTTACTTTTGCCAATAGATTCGACTTTTTGTGCCCATTTCTTTTCTAATTACTTCAATTTTTTTAAATCTATCAAAGCACCACACAAATCACAACCCATTTTTTTAAAATATCCATGTTTACATCGTTTATTTATTTGTTTATGTCATCAATTACTTAAATAATTCAGCAAATGAAAAGGTGACTGGATATGAAAATCAACAAACTTTATTTGTTTATTCAACATCTAATAACATACTTTATCAATACTGTGACCAAGCTGCATTAGCTGCGTTAACCGACTTCTTGTTTGTAAAAAAGGGTTATATCGAGCTCTGATAGCTCTCATTGAAGTTGGTTCAAAGCCAGTATAAGACTGAGTGCTGTATTCGAAATCGGAGTCAGGTCCACCAGGACAGTACACACAAATATTACCTGAATATCGAATCCTTCAGATGGTGCAGTAAATTATGATAAGATTCTGGGACAAAGCATTTAAATGAACACTATATATAGCTCGGATGCAAAAAGAAAAAAAGCAATTCTTAATTTCATGGTGCAAAAACAAAGCACCACTCTCAAATCTTTGATTCAATCACGATCGAATTTCATAGTAATGGAATACTAAGCCACAATTCATCACTCCTGAATTCTAATTGTGATTTAAGAGTGATGAATTATGATCTGATGCTAAAGCAAATGATTGAGTCATAAAGTCCGAAAAACTAATTCTTAAGAAAAGAATTCTGTACCACCAAAATATATCACTAAGTCATAAATTATTTCCAAACATAAGTACAAGAAGAAACAATGTAAATTCTAGTAAATACCAGTGAAATTGATATGAGGACAACGATGAGGTTTACACATCACCGCAACAATAGCAATACCACTGGCTGTTCGAATCGGTTTCGCTTTCAATTTAGGTACAAGCCAGTTCTGTAATCTATGCAGTCAATAACATACGATATTATTTGTTGCATTCATAATTATCATTCAACACCGACAAATTATTAAGATATAAACAATCAAACCGAGACAAAATCTAGAAGAGATTGCATTCAAGACCAAAACACCAAATAAGTTGATATGAACTGAAATCTTGCTTACTACAGTTCCTCAACATTTGATGTTTTTAGTCTTGGCGTGATTTTTTTCAGTTTCTACAAATCAGTTTAAAAAATAGATTATAGAATGCTAGAAATCAAGAAACACTGGTCGCAAGAGGACAGGTAATAATTTTGAAGCAATTCAAAACCAACTCTGTGCTCTGCAGGAACGGCAGCAATTATATCTATCAATTTGGGTTGAGTTGACAACCCATAACTTGATGAAACTTTGCCCTTAAGTTTATTGAGATCAACATCTTTGCCCTCCCGATGCGCCTTTATTAAGCGTGCAATGATTTCATTTACTGCTTTTGTTAAATCTTGCCGTATACTTTCTTCCGTAACCATTAGTATTTACAACGTCGAAGAGTTTATTTTTAAAATGCTTAACTGAAAAAAATTATCTGAAAACACTACAAAACTTATTAAGAAGATAACCATTTTTCTGCGAAACAAGAAGACTGTAAATACAGAAGTAAAGAATACCTGACAACAAGCTTTAGTACAAAGAATGCAACGCATTTATTGTTCGAATATTTCATAAAAATTATTGACATGAATATTTTACTACAGTACTGAAGTGACCACAATTATTTCATTATCATAAATTTTAAAACCGTTTTTAAAGCAAAAATAAAGCAAACAAATAAACTGTTTCTTTGATTAAGGAACTGTTCACGAGCTTGATATTTTTTGGTTCTTTTTAAGTTCATCGATTTTGATAGAACTCAAACTACAAAGACGTTTCTCATAATATTCATAACCTAATCCATATTTACATCAGTGGGAGATACTGAACAAACTGACTGCATTGGGATAAAACATTTGAGGAAATGTACGAGACTTTTAAATTCTAAAGTTGATCCATTTAACAAAAAGAATTCAAGAATAAATTCTTCAGAAATTTGTTTGATACGTAGCTTGAAGCACATAGACATCTCCTTACTTGTTTGACTGATCTCAGTTGTTACCTCAAAAAATTTCTGATTAGAGAGCAGTATGAATGAATGCTGTAGAGTAAATCAATCCCACCAGCACTGAAACTGAAATAATGTATATTAAATGTGATCACTTACTGCTTTTTCTAAAGCTGCTGCATCGCTTGATAATTCAGGATGCTGTCGTATCATCTGCCGTCGTACACATCTTCTACCCTCCCAAACACACTTTTTAACTACAAAAATTCGTTCGATTTCATCGCCTGGATCACATGTCCCTGAGACCTCATGGCAATATTCAAATCGTGGTTTTTTCTGAATGGGTCCCACAGCTGGCACGAATGCCAACAAATCCACAAATATATGATCGATGAAATTCAAGAACTTGTCTATGTCATAGCCTTTGACTCGAACTACTGTCGAATTTTCTGTAAGAAAAAGTACTACTTCCATTACTTGATATTTGTGCAATCACTTACTAAAAATAACTTCAAGCAAGACATAACGCACAAAAGCATAACTGAAAGACGAAAATCGCAAAATATATTTTGAATTTATCCAGAACATTTTCTCACGTTTCATCCAGAGTGAAGTAAAAAGCTTATAACCTGAGGAAGACATAGATTCAGAACCACGAATATCACATAAAAGTGCAGTAAATGAATCCGGCTTTATTTTGATCCGCGACAAAGCAAACTGCATTTGACGGCGCATCATTGCGACATGTTTTTCCGAAACCAACATTGACACATTATGTGACAATTCAAGTGGGTCCTGTGATAAATGAATAATATTCTTTGTACTTTGTGCATTAACAGTTATTTGCTGTTGTGTAGTTTGCAAGATAATATTAAAACGAAGTCAATAGAAAAAAACATAAATCTTACTTGTATGTTTAAATACGCGAACTTAAAAGTATTCCGGACGTTATTTTCTGGATATAATTGTCGAAACTGCTCAAATGTAACGGCAGTGCCAATATTTGGGCATAAAATAATATCTTTCAACTTAAGGTGGACAAACCATATAAAAAACTCCTGAACATTTACAGTAAATAACATTCATTAAAAGCCAAGATAGCTAAAATTTATGATTGCCTGTTACCTTTTTAAATCTTCACCTTAATCGATTAATCAAATTAATTTAGTTTTTTTCTGAAATACATGTTTAACAAGAACAGCATTTTTAAACAGCCGAAAAATGTGCAATAATAAGAACAAAAAGTTACCCTGAATAAATGTTTTAGTGACAAAAAGCGCAAGTCTACACTGTCAACAACGAAATCAATTCTCCACTCATTTACGATCATTTCTTGCCGAGAACGTTGAAGGGGAGGTATATAATCATGAAGTTGCAGAAAAGTTATGCATAACAAATTCAGAATATAAGCGTTAAAGTATGATCTCTGTAATTATATACATTCAGAAATGACATGTAACTTTAACAAACATGAGTTTTGACATCTTAATGTATGAGTACAAATTTTTTAAGTTGTTACGAATCAGATATATTTTTTTAATAATCCAAAAAACAATCCTTTGCAAATTATAATTAAAGATTCGAAAATAAACCAATAACGTACAGTTAAGTTTGTAACTAAAAGAGAAACAAAAACTGAAAATAATTATTGTGGTTGGAAAAACTAACAAATCAAAAATGTGTGGACACTGCAATTATACAAATCAGCAAGAAACCCACGAAAAGTAAACCAAACTGAAATTCCAACACAAGGTAAGCAGTACCTCTTTTTCACCAGCTTCTAAAAGACCATTTGCATGAGCCCATATTCTGAATGACACAAGAAACTTTCGAATAAGCTGTGAAGAATCAGAGTGAGCAATATGTTTAAGCCAATCACATTTTGCATAGCCAAGATGATTGTCTACAGACAAATCTACTACATGCTTTCTGGAAATGGTATAAGTCAACCAAGTTCTTTAAGGTTTTCCACACAACAATTGAAAAATATGCTACAATTATTATTTTTATAAACTGCAGGATGAAAATTTTTTGGACAACTGATATCTCCTTTTATATTAAACCAATCAGTAATAAATTTAAACATACCGATCGAAGATGAATCGTACAAGAGGACAACGGGTATTAAGAATAGGATACTGACTAATGATTGGTGCAGTGGAACATTTACGGATATCGTTAATTATTTTATTCAATAAACGTACACGATCTGAAAGTTGTCCATAAATAACCCACAACCAAGTCTTGCTTACTTGAAACCATCTTAAAAATTAGTCATAAAGTGCAAATAAAGAAGAGAAGTTTGAGAGATAATTTAATGTTGAAACAAAAAATGACTGCAACAGGAGAACTAAAATTTTTCAAACTACTGTTACTATAATAAAAAGAAGAATTTATATCATTAATAAAGTCATTCAAAGTCTGCTACTTATTAACTAACCTGCAGGACTAAGTCTTGCGTATTCCTCTGGACAAATTTTACGCGCCTTAATGGTGCTGATGTCACACGTCATTAACATATACTTATTCCTTTCTAAATCTCCAGCAGAATATTGCTTCACAAGGGGTTTGTTGAAGAACAAAGTTGCGTCCTTTAACATATTTGAGTCATTTATCAAATGCAATAAAAAAGATTGCAAATGCACTATACACTAGAACATTTTCTAATCTAAATATAATTAAAATTGCAGAGAATTTATGAATAAATTGAACTAATTCCATGAGATCAGCTGATAGTTTCAATAGAATGAAATAAAACGAACAATATCTGAATTTTTGATGCCTAAAGAAGTTACAGAAGAGCCAAAAATACGGACATGCATGCCAGACGTGAAATAATCCTTCAAAACCTCTGTAAGTATTTTGGCGCAGTCTTCACGTTCTTTGCACTGAAAAACTTTTTTCCATTGATTATAACTATAAATTTTTAAGAGTCATGTCTATGATCACAGATTGCTGAAATCATTCAAAATATTTAATGATCATACATTAAGCAAACCTGGGCATCACTAAGGCAACAGAGCTGCAATAACGCATAAACTTGATCTTCAAATGTAGGGAACTGATTTAAGTGATTTTTGAGTTTATCGATATCAAGCATATGTGTTTCGCGTTTCAACTTGGAATAATCAAAATCGATTTTGCGTGCCCGAACTGGCACAACTTGCTAGATACAGAAATTGCTATGTAATGCAAACAAGAAATTCAAAAAAGCAGAAGTAAGAACTTATTACTGTTTGCATGATTCGAAATGAAAATTCAAAAAAAAACTTTTTTAATATCTCAGAAAACTTGATAAAATTTTATTTACAACAATGAAAAAAATACAAAGCTACTAAATTAGTTAGTATGCCATAAATGCTTACACGTCCAATGCGAACTTTATCTTCAAAAATAGCTCTTTGTGCTGCAAATTCTTGATCAAACTCTACAATAGCAAATTTGCCCTTTTTTTTATCCAAACGAACTTGTTCCACTTTGCCAAAGCAACTCAAAGCTTCTGATATCTATATAAAAACTTAACAGTATATAACTTCACAATATGCCTAACTAGGAAGTGATCTAAATTTCTTTAGTGATTGAATAACTAAATGAGCTGATGTGCCCGCTACTTTCAAGAAATAAAATAAGCTTAATAACATCCTAATCTCCTTACTTCACATATATTACACTTGACAAGTGAAACAAACCTCAGACTCAGTCACGTTCAATTCCGGATCTAATTCAGATATAAAAATTGAACGAGCAGACAAGGCACACAAATTTTCATATTCTTCAACCTTCTTTTGATGACGTTTACCGCTATTATGTACACTTAACAAAGATTTTGATGACAACTGCACCATACAAAGATGACACCAATTTACATCCATCATGCCTGAAATGTGATTAATTAGATGTAAAAAAGCATATGAACTCCATGAAAATTATTACCACGTTCAATTTCGGCAATTCGTATATAACAATGATCACCTATAAATCAAAATACTTGAAAATCTCTGCAGACAAAGTGAACTCAATAAGTTAAAAACATATCCAACTTCCAATAACTTTTATAATTATAGGAAATAGATGATTCTCGATACTCAACTAACTCATAATTTGGAAACAGATTAAATACCCGTGAATCCATAACACTGAGTATGCAATTGATAATTTAGTCGCATTCTTTACTGCAAGCCTTGTGTAAAGATATTAGCATAAAATCATGCCAAAACCTCATCTCACACTGAAATTTACAACAATGCAGCAAACAGAAAGTATCCATTTTTAAAGAAAATTTATTTCAAAGCTAGAATTTTTTGAATTTCAAAATTGCTATAAACTTCATAACACACGCAATTAAGAAAAATTATTTGAGACACTTGGACTACCAGTGAAATAATGAGCAGTCATTAAAAGCTAACACAAATATGATTTTTGATTAAGTTTTAAAAGACAGGAATACAACAAACTCAAACTGAAAACAGTCTTGGAAATGAGACCTGTTATAACGCTACATTTTTTTTCGAAGTTATTATGGAAATACAAGTACAAATATTACAACAAGTAAATTTGTTTCACGCGTTATAATTTCCAAAAAATATACTTACAACACTTCAATCTTTTTTGATTTCTACAAATATCACTTTTCTTATTCTACAATAAATTCATCCTAAAATGACAGAATTTCATAGGATAATTATAAGTAACTTCGACAAGCCGAACACTATGAAACGTGTTAAGACACCTGCAGCTTATAAAGTCATAAAACTTCATGACACACTATTAAATAATAGATATTGAACGGAAAAAAAGACACGAATAGTCTTTTCGGAGCCATAATAAGAACAGGAAAATTCACTTGCTATCACTAGCGATTTCAGGCCAGTCACCGCGTCTTCTCTTATATTCGCAGTATCGTTCCCACTGTCTTTCCTTCTCATTTTTTCCTGTACGACGATATTCTGCTCGTTCCTTTACGTATTCATCAGTAATTTGTTGACGAAACCACGGATCATTAAATCTTAAAAATCATAAGTTTAAAATCCAAATTTTTTCTGACGTTAAATATCAAAGTCTTCAATCATAATATGAAGTAGTTTTTTTAGTAAAGATATGTAACACAGACTAAATTATGAAAAAAAAGGCATGGACTGAAGAAACAAATTATAATTTTGTTTTCAGAAGCTTACAACGCAAGCTGACATTCTTCGTATCGATTCAACTGATTTTGACATTTTCTTAACCCAAGGAAGCTACCTTCTCTTTTCAAACATTCTGCTAGGTCTGAAACTTTTATATGCTTTAGTTAGCATATTATACGCTTTTTACAGCTGACAACACGTACAGAGCAAAATTATTGACTAAGCGTCCATCAAATATAACGACTGAATTTTGAATAAACAAATAAAGTGCCGGATACGTTGTTTATGAAGTTACAAAATTATGACAAGAGGTAAAACAAAAAAGATTCGAACTTTGAAGTGGTTCACGACATTCAACTCTTTGAATTCTTTCATTCATCATATTTGGTATTAAAACATCTGCTTCCACTCGACGTAATGACCGATCATTTGGATCTCCTGAGACAAGTTTGAAAAATATTACATAAATAATTTCGACACAACTTTCCTATCACTTAAGACATCTGATAAAACACAACTATTCATTATTATATTTTTGCAATTTGGCAAATCTCAGCAAAAGATTAAGCAATGATATCACAAGTAAATGAAATGTGTCATACAAACCAACTCCATGTGGTCCTCCAACAGAATGAGCTGGTAAAAGAGTTTTACGCACTCGATACTTCTGACCAGTCTCAGCATCGACAAACAATTCGTCCTCTCTAAGATGACGCAAATCATCTGTCTTGATCAGGCCGTCCATAATGGTTATAAACCCGATTCTAAACCTTTTAAACAATGAATCAAAACTAGTAAAGAAAGCAAAAGATAAAAATAAATATTATAAAGCACTGCATATTATCACAAATTACAGCCATATCACACACAAAAAATAAGTTTATATAAAAACCAAATGAAAAAATGATCCACGTAAATGAACATTAATTTAATAGAAACCTCATGTATTGATGCAACACGCCCAATTATGACTTTTTTCCTTAAATACTAAAACAAAAAATAAAAGCAAATTTTAATTAAACAAAAAAATAAACCTATAATTTTAGATAAGTATTTACCAAGTAAAATAAAGTTAATATCACTCAACCAACTGATAACCGGTTTGCTAAGATTACTGCAATTAACAAACACATCTAAGTAAAGTTACATAGAGGACTTGTCAATGTGATACAAATTTCTGATTTAGAATTGTTTGAAATGAATTTAATGAGACTATCAAAGTGCCATAACGATAAAGCTGGACTGGACTACCAGTGAGATCATTTGATTGGTTTGATCAATGTAATATTTTGGTAGTTACAGACGATTGGAAGTCATTTTCTTGCATCTTAATGAATAGTATTTGTATTAGTGTGATAATGCAACTGGGTTTGTTAATTTAATGTCAAAGGTCGATGAATCTTGTTGATGAGTTTGTTTAACATTTGTAATTATTTTAATGTTATTACTGAAATTATGTGTAAGAGTGAGCAGTTATAAACATTTTAAGAATTATCAGTTCAAATTTATTAAATTTATTTTTTATTTTAAGTTTAATCGATATATTGCTGTATGATTATTTGTAGTTATACAATATAAAATGTATATACATTAGTGCAATTTTTTCGGTAATACAATGTGTAGCAAATAAATGTTTATTGAAATGTTCTGAGTAGGGGAATTTTTTCATTTTGGTATGGTTAGTAGTCTTTAAAAGATACATGGATTTTGAATAGCTACTGTAAACATCTAACACTTTTACAGAATTTCAACTTTTTCAGTTTTCGAAATTTAAAAAACGAAGATATGAAAATTGAGAAATTAACACTTTCGAGAACAAATTTCAAATGTATGAGATTCAATATTTTCTTGATTTGCCCTACTTATACTCACTATTCTATACCTATTACCTTGGGGAAAAGCGTTAGTAGTTAATAATTTGTTATTCATAGACTTTCCTTGGATTACTATTACTGGTTTAACGCACTGATTTGCACTCATTATTTATAATTCAAACGGTTTGCGAAACTTTTTTTGAAAATAAACTTTGCGTCATCTTTAAATAAATAAGCTTGTGTTAGTCAAGCGATCTTTTATTTAAAATTTTGATTTAAAAGATTATAGCATATTATTACTATTAAATCTGATTGATAATTCCAGAATGAATTGATGTTTGATCATTTTTGTTTTTTAAATGGAATAAAATTGTTCAATTTGTACATGTTTAAATTTATCTAAAAATTTATTTAAAAAATGTTTTGGATGTGCTCATTCGTTTTGCGTGTTTTCAATTCAAATTTTTGGAAAAAGTTTCAAAGAAGTGAATTTCGTTTGAAAATTAAAACAAGTAGTAAATGTCTAACTGCTCATCATCATTTCTTATTTATTTAGCATTTTATAGTAGTAAATAAACTTTCAATGCAACTAAAAACCGGCTTTATGAATTTTTAATTCAAATGTAGACACTATGAATTTTTAATTCTTTCAAATGTAGACTTTATATTTCTTCGCTTTCCGTTGATGCTTAGAAAACAGAATTTTTAATATGTTCACAGTCCGAAAAGAATTTTAGAGAATTCCGTGATTGGGGGATGCAGATCTGGACATGGCGTTTCTATAGCATTTTCTTTATTACCTTCTGCACGTTGTATGTATACGCTCAACAGCACAAACAAGATTTTAAAGTAATTTTTAATAATTAAATAGCGTTGTACTTTTTTCTGTGGGATTACATGATTGGTTTGAGAAAAAAGATGACATTTTTGTTGTAATTTTCACAGAGAAATTATTTGCATTCATTTGGAAATTACCGTGACATATTAAGTATATAGCACTGATCTATTTGTTTCAGAAATACAAAACAATTAGTTTTTTTTTTCGATTTGTCACATTTTACTATAACAAGATTTTTATATTTAATGCTGTAAAATAAGTAATTACCCTTTAATGCAGTTATGATTTGTAGTTTTAGTTGCAGCCAATTCATGATGCTGATTTTATAACTACTGAAAAAAAAACTCATTTGGCTGGCATCAGAGTTGAGGGATTACCATCTGAAGATAATGGTTTTGTTGGTTATAAGTAAGTATTAAATTTCCTCAAAATAATATTTTTTAATTTGCAGTGCTATTGAATTTACATTTCCCAACTTATAAAGTTCGTTAAACTCTTTTAATTAGCCATATATTCAACAACACTAGTTTTAAAGGCTTTTGAAAAATTGTCTTTTTAATAGGAAAAAATCGGATAATTACTTTTAAATTTAAATAATGAAGTGTTAGTATTACTATCATAGGTTCATTATTATAGTTATTGGATAGAAAAAAACTATTAGGACTTGTAATAAAAATCCTATATTAGGCGTGTTAAAAAAAATTCTGCATAGTATTTTAATGTTGATCAAAAATTTCGGGAAAAATTAAAAATGGTAGTTGCATTAAGAGTACAAAAAAGTTAAATAAAAAAAGAGACAACCGCAAATTTCTTATAAAATATGATTTACCATTTTACATCTATATTCATCACAAGATAGTGTTTAATATCATTATTTTCTGGCTTTGAAATCATAATATACATGTTTGTGCGTGTGAGTTGTGATTATGTTTAATAAAATGTATTGTTCAACAAATCTCTATTAATTCTATAAGAGTTGAAAGAAATCCGTTTAAAATCTTTTTTTTTTTTGAATTGCAAAAAGTTGAATAATTATTATTAAATTTAAGCGATAAAGAAGTGTCAATAGTACAACCAGATGTTCCTGTACGCGTTGTAATTTTTGGTTTTGGAATGGATGACATAGCATTGGTTGTTTTCACTCGAACATCAAATAATTGTTCCATGTCTGAAATTGAAATAACGCAACCAGACTTCACCATTCAGACCGAAAAACGCGTGGTTGTTAAAGCAGCATTTCCCGAGTTTGTTTTAATCACTTTATGCTTATCACTAGTTTTATAGAATTCTTAGTACTTTGAGTATTCATGTCTTATCACTCTTCTTCTGTCTGCTCTTTAAAGTTATTATAATTTGCAGTTCAGCAGATCTCTATTACGTATGTGTGAAGCAAAAGCCGAAAGAAAATTTGCAAGGTGAAGAGATTGAGCAAAATTTTGCTATAGTTAGTTTTTTTGTTTTGGTTTAATAAATTGTAATTTAATGACAGAAATATGATGATAAGTTGCTAAAAATATGCAGATAATTGTTTTAATGAATTTGTAAGTGGTTCTGGACATTACTAAAATAATACATTTGGCTTAGAAATACCACTTCTGTAATATTCTTTTCTTAACACTTATTATGAAGTAATTTCATTTATAGCTCAATGATTTACGTGCTACAATATCAACTGAGATCCCGCCACGTCGATACTACTTACCCATGGGCATTCAAATTGTGTTGATTTGCTGCCTCTTTGTACTGTCGGGGTTATTTTCGGGTTTAAATCTTGGTTTGATGGCACTAACACCACAAGAACTAATGTTAATACAGAAATCCGGTTAATTTTTAATTTGGAGCTATTTTACTTAATCCTTGAAATGAAATATGATAAAGTGAACAGCGATTTTTTTCACGATACAGATTTTGAAGAACTATCGATTTTTGATTCTGTTCTTTGATATGTCTTACTACCGAAACTTCATTTATTCATTAGTTTGCCGCGTGAAAATTCTAAAACCTATTTAGATAATTTTTTCTTGATAACAAATTTTTATGTTATGGAGCAAAAATTTATCTTCTTCAGGTTCAAAAAAAGAACGTGCATATGCAGAAGTGATACTTCCTGTTCGACGTTCTGGGAATCTCTTACTCTGTGCCTTACTTATCGGGAATGTTTGTGTAAATTCTGCCATTTCTATACTTTTCGATGATCTCACCAGTGGTTATGTTGCTCTGATAACCTCTTCTGCAGGAATTGTAATTTTTGGCGAAATCTTCCCGCAGAGTCTTTGTGTCAAGTAAGAATCTGTCTTATGGTGTGAAAATTCATACTCATATCATTTCTGTCGTCCATAAATTATTCGGAGCATCACTCTACATTGACTCTCTTGTTACACATTACTACGTTAACGTCGTGCTTCAGATGTTCAAATCGTCGTGAAGTGAAGTACTTTTATGATGGGAGACATGGACGATACAGATCATTTGAATTCAGTTTTAAATTATCATTCTCTGTATTCTGTTTTATGTTTTCTCATATTGTAATGTATTCTTCATGGCATTTGTATCTATTGATTATTGTACTGAAACAAAATAAATGGAAAATATTCATTTTCATTTGCATTACAGGAAAGGACTTGCTGTTGGAGCTCGAACCATTTGGGTAACTCGCTTTTTCATGGTGCTCACATTTCCTTTAGCTTATCCAATTAGCAAGATATTGGATATTTTATTAGGCGATGAAGTGAGTTTATTGTCCTTTGATTTCTGAAGCTTAGCAGTTCGTAAGTTTGTGAAACTGTTTCTGCTGATGGTTTGTTTCCTTCTTTAGTTTTTGATTCTTTAGTAATTCATATGCACTTCAAGATATAGTAAGCACGTAATAATCCTACAATGGGATTTTTGATTTCTTTATAAAGTTTCCAGGTAATATCATATGATCGTAAGCGATTGATGGAACTTATTAAGATGTCAACTCGAGATGAGGCATTAGCTGAGGAATTGAAAATTGCTGTTGGTGCCATGGAAATAGCTGATAAAACAGTCAAAGACGTGATGACGAAAATTGATGTATTGATTTTATGTGTGATTTTGTCATTCTTTCTGACATTTAATATTTATTAAAAACCTATCACAAAAACAAAAAATTGACTTATGCTTTACTTTTTCATTTGCACAAAAAATTATTTGTTGATTTCGAACATGAATTATAATCAGGATGTGTTCATGCTTCCTGACACTACGGTTTTAAATACTAAGACTGTTGCGGAAATATTGCGTATGGGATACACTCGAATACCAGTTTATTCCGGTAACAGGTATTGTTTTTTGCTGGATTTTGTTGTATCATGTAGATAATCATTTTTTTGAGCCAAACTGAAGCTAATATCATTGATCAGTTTGTTTATTGGAGTAAGGTAGAAGTTCGGTGGGATTTCAAATTAGCTTCTGAAGTTTGAAGGTGCTCTGACGAATTTTCATTTTTGGATGCATGTTGAAACAGTAATAATCGTATGGTTTATGCGTGTTAAAACAGTAATAATCGTGTGGTCAGTTTTATCGTAATATTTTCCATAAACCTGCTCGAATGTTTGTACATTTAGAAACACGGTGATATCTTTATTGTTTGTCAAGGATTTGGCACTTCTCGATCCAGATGATAATTTTACTATTCAAACAGTTTGTGGTTTTCATGAGCATCCATTACGTTTTGTTATGCAAGATACGCCATTACGCGTAATGCTTGAGGAATTTAAAAAGGTAAAAATGTGTCTAATGTAACAGTCATGGTCATTTTTGATAAATGGTATAGTAGAATCTCTGACATATGTTTAAGACTTTAATTTGTAATATATGAAATACAGGGAGATTACCATCTTGCGATGGTGCAGCAGATTGTAGATATAGAAGGGACAGATCCAATTTATGAGCTTGCTGGGATTGTAACTCTGGAGGACATTGTAGAAGAAATACTTCAAGCCGAAATAGTTGATGAAACAGACGTTGTTATGGATAACGTTCATAGAATTCGTCGACGTAATGCTCAAGTTTGTTTCATTTTTTCAGTTTCTCTTTGTCCTTTATAATACTGCGTTTGAAGAAATCCAAATGTACTGTATGTAAATTTTTTGTAAAATAAAAAACCTTCTTTAGTACTGAAGAAAAAAGTTAATTTTAGATTTCAAAGATCTTTTTATTTCTATGCAGTAATTTAGCTGAAATTAAAAAAAATTGCCAAATCAATTCTTTCCTTTAATTCTTTCAAAGTTCTGAGACTCATTTTTTTTGATCACAAAGGATGGGTTTTATTTCATATTCTGAAATAAAAGACAGTTTATCTTAGTTATGAGATAACTAAAAAAAATTTTTAAATCAAATATACAAGTTTTAAATTTGGAGTAATGATAGTTAATAATCTAAATAGTATTTCGTTATCAATTTCTGATATCTTGTCTCTGACCCTCTTCATAATCTGGAATGAATATTCTATTGTAGATTTTATTATATTCAGTTTATTTAAAAGCTTAGTCACATGAAATTGAAATAAGATGCATTCCTAAAAAAGCTGGTAGAATGCATTTTATCTGTTAAGCTTTCAAGACCATGTATGTCTATTTTTAACTGAAGTTCTGGAAATCCAGTGTCTATTCTTATCCATATTACCTTTTCTTCCTTAAAGTACTCTGCTTTCTAGAGTTCTACGCTTCGTTATCCATCTATATAAAATAAAACCTTAATTTGAAAGTTTCTTCCATGGTGTTCATGAAACCAGTAGTTACATAGGAAAAAGCGAATTTAGTGAATAAAAGGCGTTATTATGAAATTTCGTTATGTTTTCTTCCTTCAGCACCTAAACTTGCATCATGCACATAAAATAGCATTTTTTTGTGTTTGCTTTGCTGTTTTTGGGAATTTGTTGAGCATTTTCTTATAAAAACCAGTCTCTGCTTACTGATGTGTAGATCGGAAACTTTATCTGAAAGAACTCATGTGTGAAAAATATTGTTTTCAGTTATTCATCCTCTTCATTCGGTCAATAATCAGCTTCAAAATTTCTTTGACTAGCGAATTTCGCATTTAACAAACAAGTCCAAAGACGAATTTTGTTTTGATTCAAAATTTAAACATCAGTTGCATTGGTTTCTGTACTACGCATAAGAATCGCATCCTAGCGAAAATAAAGTGCAAACATAGAATTAGGAGGTTAGATCGTTGTAAGATGCTACTTATAGTGCCAAACTAATTAGACAAAAAGGAAAGTGACCCAACAATTATATTCATCAACATTAATCCTCTGATAGTGATACTTATATATTCTGGAAATTGCTTGATAAAACATGTCTCTTGTTCTTTTGAGTGTGCCTTGTATCACTTCTTCCAAGTAAATAACTAAAAGCTATTTTTTACAAGGATAATTTTAAGAAATTGTAAGAAAAACTCATGGGATCTAAGTTGTGATTCTTCTAATCAGCAGTCCTTCCACTTAGGCTTGATGATTGTGTAACTTTCTTCCAGTATGTTTAAAAATTATTATTAGTGATCCATGGGATTTAATGAATTGTATTGTTTTTCACGCACCACACTTGTTACTTTATCTAGTTTATGATGCTAATGGTTTTTAGGCTGTAGATTTGGCAGCATGTCTATTAGAAGAAGATGGTCCGTCTCGCATTATATCGGTACAAATGCAGTTAGTAACAATGCAGTGGTTAGCTACCAATCAGCATGCCTTTAATCCTGATCTCATTTCTTCGAATGTTCTTGAAAAACTGATTAAGCAGCACGTTCGACGGGTTTGTAGATTAATTTTTAATTGAATTTCTTATATTTCATCATATATTTTTATAACGACGTGCGTGACGCGAGTCATGCTGTTAGCCACGAGAAACCGCTTGCACAGAATCAACTAGGGACGTTTCCAATGTTTTAACACTATTAAATTTGGTTGTATGTATAGCGGCTATACACTACCTGGTATGACGTTAAAAAAGTATCGGTTCAGTAGAACTATTTTATTGAATGCATTGAAAGGCGTAGCTTGCCAGCCGGATCAGCAACTTTCTAAGAAGCATCACCTTCAGATAGGTAATTGCGTTGAAGAATAACGGAGAAACTATAATGGGAAAAAAAATGGTACAGGCTTTCAAGATAACGGGCTTTCTCTGCTGCATTGATCCGTTCAGCAATAGGCCCAATAACAGATACCAAAAGGTAATTCCCAGGAGTGCATGTAACGAACCATCTATCATTTGATTATTTGTGCATGATCTCAAGCTTCTTGCTGCCGACGAGCATATCATGAAGGCTGTGGCCGAAGAAGTCTTGAGGTTCTTTAAATAATAGAGTGAGAAGTGGATCCAGCAAAGTCAGCCACTAATACTGACGTATGTACTGATAAAGCAGTGTTTTTGGAAGGGGCTCAAGGGTATAAATATCTTGGAATAATGGAAGACTAGACTAGTGGTGGGCAAGGTGCACTAGCTCGAGCGGAGATATTGGTGAGAATAGAGTAACTAGCCTGAACAGCAAGAACTTAATCAAAGCAGTGAATGAACTTGCTATAAGTTTAATCAACTATTACATTGGACTGCTGAAATTGGACCAGAAGATTTCAAAGCTATAGACGAAGATATCAGGCAGTTACTAAATAAATACATTCATAACCAACCTGCATGTTTGGAGAGACTCTATTTGCCTAGAGATGATAGGACGTGGACTTCATAATGTTGAACAGAGGAGTGAGCTTATGCTTCTACATGATCTTCTTGTAGTTACTGCGCCCATATCTACTGGGAGAGTTCCGATTTTGAAGCAAGAGAAACGTACTTGGCAATTATTCTATCTTATCTTAAGACAAGATACAACTTTGTAGAAAACCGAACTGTCGAAAGTGTATTTGCAGCCCAGAAGGCGCTCTTGTATAGCGAAATAAAAAAGAAACCCCACTATGCAAAGTTGTACAAGATGCGGACGAATGAAATTTCTTCTATAGCTGTTTCATCAAAATGGCTACAATATGGAAGCATTTCCCCGCAAGATGAAGCGCGATACTGTCACCTCCGAAATAGAAATATGTTTGGAGCTGAGAAAGGTATGTGCGAACATTGAGGAAACGTGTGAAGATCATCTAGCAACACAGTGGGAGAGAATGTTATGTTATGACTATATTAGAAGACACAATAAAGTCTTGCGATGTATTCATTTAGGACTCTGTAAAAGTATGGTCTGAAAGCATTCCCGTGCATACAAAGCCATTTTGTTCAGAAGGTCGTCGCGAATGAGAACGTTGAGATCAGAGTCGATACGCGAATGAGAACAGCTAAAAAAATAAGTGCGGATCTACCGAATACCATGATACACGGTAAGAAGCGACGTGAAGTGATCCTGATAAAGGTTGGCATCACTAGTCAGTACAGGTTTACAGAAGTCGAGACCAAGAAGAAGCCAAAGTACGATTTACTGCTAATAAACTCGGAGCAGCGATGACCAAAATAATTCCGTATGTAATGACTTGGGAATAGTGACAAAAACTTCCACGAACGTTATGCGAAGGAAATCAGTGTATCTGATTTGAGACATATATTCAATCGATAGTACTCAAGAAAACGCTCGAAAGCATCTCATTCGTTCAGTGTTGTGGATTCTACGAGGATTAAGCAACGGAGATCAGCACAGCAGAACTGAGTGCAGGGCGAGTGCAGCGAGATTGCCAGAATACGATCCAGCGCAGACTCAATTATAAAGAAAAAAAGAGTAACCTCCGTGTGAATTGACTTGATTTATATATGTAACATGATTGTTATCTTTTAAATATATATTGTTCGGTTCTACTGTAGATTCTTTAAGACTTAAGAGATTTCAGCTCCAATATCTATGATACTATATAAGTTTTATATTTTTATTCCCTTTCGCTTCCCATATCTTAAATTATTACTGGAATTTTAATATTCCAATATTCGTTCCAGGTCGAGTTTTCCCATTTGCCTGATATGAACGACCCTAAAACTGTAATACCACGCACTGCAAAGCTTTATACTAAACAAGAGCCGTCTGAAAGATTCATATTAATCCTGGAAGGCAGAGCAATGGTCACAATCGGACAGGTAATTCATATAATGATACTAAGTGAAGTCGAAATCAAAGTATATAGTGTAAAATTGTATATGTCTTATTGCCTTATCCTAATATTAATTTTCAGAATGAAATGACCTTTGAAGCTGGTCCTTGGCATTGTTTCGGTGCTGAGTTTTTGGAACAACTAGTAACAGTTGCTCAACAACAATATGGTACTGCAGCTGCACAAATTCAGCAGCATGGTATTTTTTCATGGTTTTAGTATTTATCTTCACTCTTCTAGTAAGCACAGTTAAGAAACTTTCAAATATATCATTTTTTGGAATGAAATTTATATCGACTTGGATATTCTGTTTTTGTCTCGTTATTTGAAATATCTATTTATTCAACTAATTAACGTATCCTTATGGTTGGGAACATTGTTTTTGGTTTCTTTGGTAATAGAATCGAATTTGATGGAGCACCGTTTATCATTTAAATAAACTCAAAAAATTCTTTGAAGTTGTTTTTTTATAGTTGGTTTTGAAAATTGTCGTTAATTTTTAACTGTTTTCAGTTTTAGTTTATAAATTTTTGCTGTATACTGCTTTTTTTAATTTATTCTTCGTTATTTTTTTTTCTGATATATCATATCCGTGCAACTGAAAATATCTGTATCGAGTTTTCAAGTATTTAATAGGTGAAATGATTTCAGGTAGTGGAGGACAAGTAGCATTTTCCCGCAATTCCTTGAGCACATCTGGTGTTTCGCCATCAGAACCAGTGAAAAAAAATCTGATCTCGTTTACACCCGATTTTTCCGCCATTGTACGAGATGATTGTACCTATCTGGAAATCACTGCCCAAACTTATCTGCTGGCTTATAAATCAACACTGATTTCGAAAGGAAGCAGGTCTCGTGAAAAAATTCCTCATCGTTTTACTGTAGCTAACTTACAAGCACTAGATCATGAGTTAGGGTATCAAAGACAGCATCAGAAAGAAGCGGTAAGGTTCCATCTGATCGATTCTAATGAGGATTGCAAAGGGGAACAGGTACAAAGCGACAGTAAACGAGAGCATTTGTTGCTTCACCGTTATCATCGTTCTCCTGTTTCGCTGCAGTCCTTTCGAGCTAGAAGTGGTAGCTTAACATATTGACTAAGAAAACACCATAGCACTCGTTATATGGTGTATCTCTTATTTATTACCTTCCAATTTTTAGTGAACTTGTAATCGCAACTGATTTTCAAGTACAAAGTCTGCTTTTCTAGTTTGTTAGAAGAAATTATTATTATTATTACTATAAATGGAGTCAATATTCTCATCTTACTCTAATTTCATCCAAAAGATTTAGTAGTAGTACAGTTTGAATTTGCTATGTTTGTTTTAAAAACATGCAGTGAAGACTTTACCAAGTATTATTTTTTTCTTATTGCTGTTTTGTTATTAGATCTCGTTAATGTGCCTTGTTTAAGCTCGTTTATTTTTTCACTTTGTGACCTTTTTCTATACATTGTTATTTTCACTACAAGTGAATTTGTTGTTAGGTTCAACTCCACAGCTTAAAATTTTTTAACAGTTTATGTGAACAATACATTGTTATGGACTTTTGAAATTAGGTCCTAGTTACGGTCAGAAATAAAGTTGTCATTTTTAGTTACTCTGTGAAGTCATTTTGAAGTCATTGTTAATTCAGTGTTAGTTATGTCAGATTTGATTATAGGCATCATTCAGTAACTTGGTTTGTAGGTGCCATCTAGTTTATTAGTGAAATAAAAGAATTTTACTATTTTATTTGAAGCGATAAATGTAGTATTCAAGATTCAAGTTTTCTTCTCTTTTACATTTACTGAAAACTTTCCCAGTCTTATCTAGTCTATTGTTCTTAAATATTCAGTGATGATCATCAGCCTTAATCATTCATACAAAAGATTTTTTTAGCTTTTATCAAAGTGCAGTTTTTGCTGTTAAGAAGTTGTTCATTTACAAATATAATCTAGCTATCATGCTTCATGTGATATTTTCTCAGATTAAAATGCATTCCAAGCTGTAGGCATCAGGAAAGAAGCTCTAAGCATTAATTCTAGTTCAAGCATCACTCTGCTTCTCGAAATAAAGTTTATTTTTTGTCCTAATTTTTTTATTTTTTGTATAATCATATACGGTTCTCTAGCTCAATTTTCTAGGCAGCAAGCAGACTTTGCTCACTAATTTATTTTTCCGATCTGGTTCCTGAAGAGTACCTTTGTAATTATGTCTCTAAAAGTTACCCAGTGTGCTTTTGCTCTGTCATTTGTTTTGTTGATCCATACATTCCCTGCATTTTGTTCATTAAAGTTCATTCTGAAAGCGAATTTTCTTTTACAATCAATATCATTTCACGCATTTCAGTTCTTCATTATCAGCTATTCAAAAAGAGTAACTGCTAAAAATAAATAATATCCTCTGAATTTTTTAAAAATGATTGGATTTACGTGAAATTGTGAATCTTTCGTAAAGTCCATTCGCTTTCATCTCTCTCTGCTAAATTTCCACATTTGATTTTCTTATCTTTCAGTGTCACCACATGTTTAGTGACTTTTGATTATGAAGTTTTGTGAGTTGCATCAAAGTGTGATTTGGCTTTTTTCTTTACTTACACTATAATCTAATACAGTTAGTGCACGCTTGTCTACTAATACTTTGCTGAATTTTGTGGTGCGGTATGTTAAAAAACACGGTCATTAGAACTCGCCAATATTGGCATATGTTGAACTTGTCAAAGTTTTTTTTTCTGATTTGCGAAGTTTAACAGTCGACAGTTTCTTGATTTCTAAATTTCTGAATTCTTGTAAAACTGGATTGATTTACCGGAAGTGGAACTGAAGCTGGCTTTTTCTTATAAAATTCCTTTTTTTTATAAAAATCCTTTTTCTTATAGAATTCCTTTTTCAATGAAGTTCTTTCATATCTCGCTGTTTTGACGTTACGGTTCATAACTTTGCAAATTGAATTTTGAACAAATTTTTTATAGATTGGAAGTTGCCTGGCTTTGCTGAAAGTACCAAATGTTTCAACACTTCTATAAATATTTGTATTCTTAGCTAAATGTGCATTTTCAGTATAATCTTTCATTGCTAATTCAGTTTAATTTAGTTTTTAATTTTGGTACTGCCATTGAAAGTAATTAAAATATATAGTCAGACATGAAAAATAACTGTTTGAAAAAGTGTTGAAAAATGGTTTCCATCCGAATAATGAAGTAGTGGTAAATTACTAAAGTTTTTATAATATAGAAAAATGGCATGGAATAAATTCCGCAACGTTAAGTAGACATTATTGACAGAAAACATTTTAAAACTGTCTATTTAGATTATTCACGGAAATTGATTGCCTGTACTGTATTTTATACATTTAGATTGTTATCAAATAAAATTGCAAGGGAAGAGGAGGACGTGTTTGCTTTTTTTTTGCTTACTTTTTCTATTTGGAGAAACAGATAATACTATTTCTAAAGTAGTAGACCTAAGATTTGTCATGATGGATCTGTGAATTAAAGTGATAATATCACAAGATTTATCGAAGTATGAAAGGTTCAAATAAGTCCATAATTGCTTTAAAGATGACTTAAGCTGGAAAATTTTTAACTTTGTTTTTAGAGGGTTACCGGTACCAACCGGTGGGGAGGAGGATGGTAGAGATGGTGGTGGTGATACTATAACCTTGCTGAATGGACGAAAATTGCTGTGTAGATCAAGTTTCGATGAATGTTCACTATTGCTTGGCTCACCGCTTTTTGATACCTCACAGGTTCGCATCATATCGCATGAGTGGAAAGCATATGTTGAAGATTAAATACAATTGTTTGTCCTTTATAAATATTAGGTGGTTACATTCGGAATTAATGGAATCTAAAAAACTGGATATATTGAAAAACTTTTTCAAACAATATTTTGTCGTACGGATAATGCAAAGTCCCATTTATTTACAAATTTTTACTAGTAAAAAAGAGTGTCTTTTTATATTTGAGGTTGGTTTGTTCTGTTCTTAAGATTTTTGCATGCATGATAAACAACCACGTATGAATAATTTTAAACAAATTTTTATTTTCCACATTTCTTGGTGGGATTTATTTTAATGTGCATTGTCTCAAATTGTGCTACTGATTTTGCTTTCTTTTCTTCTCAAGATTGATATCAAGACAATTGGCGCTAGGCAAATTCCTCTTTCTTCATTCTCTGCAGTATTCAAATGAAATGCTGCATAGAATTGTTCACGTTTTTGATATTTTGAAACTTTATTTATTTTTTTGTTCTCGATCAAAACACATGAATTACAGTTGCGATGTCGTTTATTTGGACTTCTATGTATTATAATCAAATTATGTAACTTGAATACTAGTTGACTTTTCACTGCTGTCAAAACATGTTTTTCAGCTTTCGTTAATTTGATCGTAACAGCTACAGAGCATATGTTTGGCATCAATTTTTCTGAACAGTTTGCTTTTGAAGAGTTTTTGACTTAGTTTCATTTACTCAGAAGACATATGCTATTGGTACAGAATGATCTTGATGCATGAAGCGAAAGATTTTTTTTTTGATAGTAGTATAATTTATAAGTAGTAATGATAGTGTTTTAAAAAAAATAGTTTAACAATTTTAAAACGTAGAAATTCATTAAATTTAAAGTTGTAAAGGTTTCGAAAATTATTTGTGTGTGAGGAATGTTTTTCATGGATGAATTGAACTACTTTATTTTAGTTTCTTTTTTTTTCATGATATAACATTTTGTTTTTGCTTGTAATCAATTTCGAGTAAAAAAAATATGCAAAATTATGCAATAATTTGCAGAGCGTAAAAGAAGGTCCGAAGTCCAAGTCAAAAACTTTTAATGGCCGGAATTGGCGAAAGCGATGTCGCAGTGATACTTCAGATACAGAAGTCGCACCGCCATTACTGAGTCCACGAAGTATTATATCTAATTTTAGCTAGTGCTTTTGTTCAATTTTTAGCTTAAAATTTTGCAATTTTTTTAGTAATTTGTCATCTTAAAACTGCATATATGTACAGGTCCCTTTTTGATGACGTGAAGTAATTGCATATGTATTTGGAAAGTATTTGAATAGATTAAATTTGCTTTTACTCACATAGTAATATGTACGTCAAGTCATGCTTAATTTTATACATTAATTCAGTAAATCTAATTTATTTATATTATATAGTATTTTAACAAAAGTGATAAGCAACTTTCTTATACATTAAGTTAGCAGTTTTCAACTGATATTATCTAAGACTTTGTCAGCAGTGAAGTAATAATTTGATGGAATAATTAGATTGTAGCTCTTTGGTTTAGTCCAATCTTGTTTTCCATTTTATTTATTTTTATTTATAGGTTTTTATATGGTAAAAAGTTGGATTTGCATATCGCTTCTGAAATTAGACTATTTGACAGAAGGCTCATGCACTAGGCAATTTCATCGTATAATGTTATAAAAAGTGGAAGGTTTTTCTGCTTGGTATTTGAGCGTTAAATTCTATTTTAAAGAACTAGTGGGTGGCGTGTTAAGACTCCTTTGATGAAAACTTTTTACTGCTTAATGTGCTTGTGAATGGAAAATTTATCAGTGTTTATAAAATCCGAAAACTGTTGTACTTCTTTTTTCTGTATATAATGATTATTTTTCTCTTTAACTTTGCAGTGTATTATTGTTGTAATTTGTTTAATACAATATAGTACAGCATAACATTTCATTTTTAGAATTCAAAAATATACTTGAATGCGTTTACTTATTTTCTGATGTAATTTTGCTCATTGACTGTTCCACGTGTCGATAGACAGGCGGTCATTGTAATGTACATGGATGTGTCTTGTTTTATAGATTTTCAATTACCAAGTATGCTACTATTTTCTACATTTAGTATAGTAATTCTAAGGCTTCAAATTATAATAATCATTTCACATTATTGTGATAAGTTTTTTCATGCATATAATATATAAAAGTTGTATCAGTTTTCGTCTCACTAAGATGTAGAAAAAATATTTGTTTGAAGAGTAGATTTGTGTTATTAGCGTTTGTTTTGTGTTGTTTTATGCGATTTTTAAATGATAGAATTCATTTAATGAAAGAATAATTTTGCAAGACACTGCCAGTTATCCTGTATTAATTGCAATTATTACGAATCAAGCAGTAATATATAATTTAATATTGTTTGAATATAAAGCAGTCATTCAGACACTAATCTTTCTTTCATTATTTTGATTACTTTACAATAATATCTTCAGAATTTTTTGCCAACTATCATACAGAAATAGTCTTGATTTTCGGGGATAATTAGCCTTGTTTTTCCAAACTAATAAATTCAAAGGTTAATATTTCTGTGCATATTTTTTGATATACCTTTGAATTATCAGTAAATAAATTTCTGTTTAAGAAAATATTACTAATTATCACTAGCGACTGCAAATATTTGTTGTTATTAATAACTTGGCTCTTGTTATGAGATGATTATTAATAACACCTATTATTATTATTGCTACTAGCAGCGTCATCGAGCTAGAAGTTTGTATTGTATAAATAAAATGGTGTGCTATAAAGCTTTAATAAGACATGACATTATTGACTCTTATTTGCAGTTATAATTTAGTATATTATAAAAAATAAAACTTCTAGAATTTAACATTTTCAAAACATCTGAGAACTATCTCGTCATACCGTCTCTTTATACTTCTTGACATCTGAACTTTACTGCTAATCTACTGCAGTCATTGATCTGAAACAACGAGGTGTAGTACAGTAAATGAATATTTCTTGAATACGTATCATAAACACTGATTGTCCTAGGGTTCCTCCCATGCTCCTTTATGAGAGGTTTTTTTGAGCTTAAAAAAAATTCATTTAAATTGAAAAATTCCTGAAATTGCTGCGGTCAGTTGTATTCATTCATAGTTTTGTATTCGAATTTCGCATCTTGTAATATTTTGAGATAAAAAACTTTACTCAATATTTATGTCTTCTGTAGAAAGAAGATATGATTATTGCCAAAGTTGCGAATGATAGTGAAAAAGTTGTAAATGCAATCGCAAGGACAGAATAGGATAAACATATTCGTCCAGTTGCAATAAGTGGCATTGCCATTTCATTTTCCATGCTATTATTGAACTGAAGTTTTAATTCTGAGCCATAAATTAAAGCAATTTAGTAATTGAGTTCAAATTTGAGTTTAATTCCTTCAAAATACAACACTTTGCAATAAAAAATTCATTTGGTTTATGAAACAATCTCATTTCAACCTTTTTTTGGTAATTACTTTTGGTTTAATTTTATTTCAATAATAACTTTGATATCAATCAGCTATGGAATGAACAGGGTGAATTTGTTCTGATTTTTGAGATTTTGCATAATAAAACTAATTCAGAAATTCAGATCAAAATATGGAATCGGGAATCTGTAAACTAAATGCAGTTATGAAGTAAAAATTCTCTAATTTGATCAAGAATGTGAAACCATAGTTTGACATTATTCAAATTCAGATCAGTAAATTATTCTTTTCAGAAGAGTAAAAATCAGTAAAATTTTATATTTAGTTCAGTAAATTATTCTTGATATTTAGGGGCTAAGAATTATTTGCTAACTGAATTTTTTCACTACTCAATGCTCACGTGACCTTTTTACTGAAAGTGTTCATTATAATGAATTTATTAACATTTTCAAATTTTTACTTTTTCTGCTTTTATGATTAAGTCGTTTGGCTGTTGTGCATCAGCAATGCTACTTTCCTCAATATTATCCAGCATACTTAGTGTAGCCACTAAATCCATTCGATGAATATTGCGTATTTCTGATATTTCGCGTGATTTACGTCTTAATGAAGTACTGGAATAATTATTGTTTAGCCGAGTGTTTTAACATTCCATTTTTATTTTTATTTGCTATCATATATAATTTATTATAATAAATTTTTAAACTGATCAACTTTTGTAATGTTTGATGATATTTCAAATTCAATTGCTAGATTGTAAATTTGAACAAATTGATTTCATTAATATCTAAAAGGAAGAAGCATTAACTGAGTTATAAATCTGAAAATGCATTTTAAATCCTTGAACTCGCAAAATCTAAAAGTTCTGACATCAAGATTATACGAAGAATAATTTTAGAAAAAATTGAATTCTGGCACATTTTATTTGTAGAAACAATTGAAACCAAATAATTTGTTACAGATTAATTAATTAACTATGGTATTATCAAAATTGAATCAACTTATATCCGAATATTCGGATGTAAGTTGATTTCTTCGAATATTTTTAAATTCGGCTTTTATCATCATATATAATTTATGATAGATTTTTTAAATCATATCATTATACACTCGCTATAAAACTGTTATAAGACACTCATAACAGTTATTGTTTTATTCTACAAACTAAGCGAAGTGAATAGTACAAGGGATAAATACTGATTATTGTAAAAGATTTAAATGCCAAATGCTAATACCATGCTCGATTGTCTGTATCATTTGTGATATGATCTTCAAATTAATCAGCTAATGAGTTTTTCAATTGCTTTAAATATTTTTCAGATATTCAAATTTGGAAATGGAGAATCAAGTTTTATTATAAAATTTCAGGAAAAAAAGTACTTTTGATTGAATTTGTAAAATTAGGGTTTGTCAATAGTAAAAAATCTAATATTTCGTATCAAATGTTCTTACTTAAGAGTGCTGGCACGTAATCCACGTCGAAGACGTTTAAAATTAGCACACGAAGGTGGAGTGAGACCTTCACATTCTCCAGTAGCTTTTTTGCACAACTCTACTACACATTGATAATTCATAATTGATGTATCACTGAACTTATAACCCAATGTTTCGGCTACTGCCTGAAAATTTTCTGATATTAATAAAATTATGCAAATTATTAAGATGAAAACTGATTTATTACTTCTGTCTATTCAGTATTAATTAATTAATTGAAAGCTTTTAAAAAGATTGGTACAATATCATTGTTAAATGATAAGCAAAATTTTTTTACTCTTGTCAAATCAGAATCATATTGCACATCAGGTTGTATAACTGGATCAAGAGTGCATCCATCTAAATCAAGCTGAAATACTTTCTGGGGATCATTAACGTTTATTAATTTCAACAAGAAAAATAAAATTAATCCAATCAAAAAATGAGTAACTATTGTTTTGGTCTGCTAATTAAAATTGAAAAGACGTGAAAATTTTTTAAATAGAGGACTTACTAGATCGAAGCGTGTTCCACGTCCATCATTAACGAAGCAGGAATGTACAAGGAATCCTTGAGTATTATCATCACATTCCCAAACATGATATATTTTTTCTCCAACTTGACCATAACTGAAATCATTCACATATTCTAGAATTTGAGAATAAAATTAATTTTAATAAAATAATTGAAGGAAACATTTTTCTATTTTTTAATTGCTAGAAATATTTACAAAGCAACAATAAATTTTAATAGTGTTTTTTGAACTCATTTATTTATAAAAAATATTAGTTTTATCCAGTTTTAATCTATTTTTGCTTAATAAATTTACAGATTACTAGAAATATAAATCTAGCTTTTATTTTCAACAATTCTTTCAAAAAGTAGCAAAATCAAAAATAAAAAAATACAACTTTTGAAAAAAGTACGCTATTTTTACAATTTATAATAAAAAATTAATTTTTTCAATAATGAACGCAAACTTTCAACAATATTTCTGATTATAAATTAAATATTTTTATAATTTTTGCCAAAATAAATGGTAAGAATTTGAAAAATATGAACGAAAATTAAGACAAACATTGCTTTAGGTCCTTCAGCACTTCCAGAATGAATACTATATGTACAAGTTGGCATTTGTACAGTATCCATCAATTCTGTAGTACTAATTAAGGATATATCTATTCCCGATGTTAACCGTTTAATATTTCGATAAAAGCACACACAACGAAATGCTCTATCAACTCGAGTAACAAATGTACTGTGAAATGATATTACAATTGTAATTGAAAACATAATTCCCTGCAAAATTTTAAAAATTTTTGTGAATATTTTTAAAAAAACGCTTAAAATTAATAAAACGAAGTCACAGAAATTTAATAAATAAAATTAAACAAAAGTTTACTTAATATATGAACCGTTGTAGTTGACAAACTGAATTATTTTGATTTTTATCAAGTAAAATATAAAGTTGCCAAAATTACAACTTGTCAATAAAGTTGTAAGCGTTACTTTTTTCAATTTATAATGCTTATAATTTTCAATGAATTAATTTGAAATACAGCGCAAATTTCATTATTAAATTAATTTTTCAAATTCTGAAAAGTCGAAAATAATAAAATTTGGTATAAAATTTGAAAAATAAAAATTATTGCCTAAAATTTTTGCTTATTTTCAAGAATAAAATAAATTGGATTCCAATATACAGAAGGATGACGTTTATTAATAGAATCAAAACCTCAGTATTGCCAGTAATTCGTTGTCGTTGCATTGTACAATCATCATTTTGGACAGTCATTGAGAATTTTTTTTGATCAACGTTTGATGCAAAATTTTGAGAGCAACGTTCATCATCTGCTAATCCACGTACGTATATGCGACCCGTAAATGGTTTTTTAGTTTTGAATGTGAGGGAAACCATTGTATCTTGACAATCTATCTTGAAACTTTGGAAATGTAGCTCAAAACTTGATTTAAGATATAAATTTTAAACAGTATGTTTTCTAATGTTTCAATTGTCACACTACAGTTTCTTTTAAGTAAAAAATGGAATAATGAAATTTGCATGTAATCTTAAACAAAGCTATTATTTGTACACACTTTTAAGGATAATTAGTATGTTCTTACTATTGTATTTATTTAATATTAATCGAGCATAAAACTAATTTTAAAAAAAATGCCAAATAGAATGAATCGGAAGTAATTGTCAGTCATTTTATGTTAAGACTGAACTACACTTAGAACGAAAATACCTCTATTATTATTATTATCGATTCATTTAACTTACATTGATATTATTTTTGAAATAAAATACTTTTACTTCACAAAAATTGCAACTATTTTGAATTTTTGAATTTGTTAAATATTGACGTAAATTGAATTAAGCTGTTATTTTTAAAATTTTTAAAGCACAAACTAAGATTACTACTTTTTGCCCATAAATGCGCCAATAATAAATTTTAATTCAAATTAAACTATAATTTTCAATATTTGTTGACTAATCGCGAATTTTTTACTGAAAAGTAAACATTTTCAGCAAGATTTTGTACTTCAGTCTTATTTTATTTTGAATGTTTTACTTACATTTTTGGTATCTTTTTTCAAGTGCATATTATCATCAATGTTTTTGATTTATTATCAATGATAAATGAGTAATTTCATGCTTATCTATCAATAATACTTAAACCAAGAGTAATAGTAAGAATTAGAGTCAAGATTAAAGTATTTGCTAGAAAGCAGCAATTAATTTATTTTTAGTCAGGATGCGCGAGATATACGCATATTTAGCACCTTTGACGTTAAATAACATATTTTGAAAATGATAAACTAGGCAGTGAATATTATTTAAATTTTGAAGAAATAGAAATCTGGAGTTTTGTACTAAATGTATTTGTCACAAAATTGAATGTCAACTAAAACCATATAAATAATTATTATCTAGCTGATGGTACTCACAAATAAATTATTTAAAAATTAATTTAAAAGATTAATTAATTAGTAAATTAATCCATAATTTTAAAAATTAATTAATTAGTATATTGATTTTTAGTTTAAGGTCAGAGTCAAGTATCTGCTTTAGTATCATATAAATAAAATTTTAAAAATACTCACCACAGGATTTCCCATTAATTCGTTATCAGTGCTAACAAATACTAAAGCAAAATTGATTTGAAGCGAAATAATAATGATTTCGAACAAATTTTTAGATACCATTTTAATTTGCATACTATTTTCTAATTGATTAGAAACAAGGGCAAATTTATGTGTGCAATCTCAGAATAATTTTCATGTTTATATACGTTAATTTTAGATTGGATTATCAATTGGGACATTGAAGAAAAAATTTATTATGGCAAATATAACTATAAAAACCCAAAACAAAACCGTTAGATAAAAAAAGTCACATTAAAATTTTTGTTTTGTATCACACACTTTAAGTAACAATTATTCATTGCATTCTACATATTAATCCTAAATAGGTCAGGTCATTGGTCAGCAGCAAATTTGCATAATATTAAGAACAGCAAATGTTGAAAAAATAATAAATTAATTACGATTGATTGTCTGTTTTTGTGCAGTGTCATTGTTTGAAGATTACAACAATTTAGGCTCTAATCTGATTGTTAAAAAAAATTTATTGTTGCGATTGTGGTCATTTAATGTTATCGCACTTAAATTAACGATTATTACCTTAAAAGCAATTAAAAAGTATGAAAAATACAAAAATTACAACTGTGAAAGGATAATAAATTCTTAATTATATCATTCTGTGCTCGTAATCACTTTAAAAGTATTACTACTATTACTTTATCCACGACTGACTTAGCAGTGAAAGTTTTTGACTTCTTACGTGATTAAAAATTGCTTATTGTTATTTAAACAAACTAAATAATACAAAAACTTTAAAAACACAACATTCTCAGAAGTTAAGTTTATTCAAGCAAGTAGCACTTTGTTATCAACTTTTGTTCACAGTAATGGATTTTGAGATTTTTTCATACATTTTTGCATTACTTTAAATATTTTTTAAAAGAATTGTTGAAAATATTAAAATAAAAGACAAATGTTTTTATATAATTTTTTATTTCAAAATTTTTAAAATGATTTTTGCATTGCCTTCGATCTATTAGTGTTATCTATTTTAGATGATATTTAAAAAAGTTCTTTTTAATTGTTCCAAATATATCTGAGCAATTTTGTTGTTATTACAATAATGCATTGACATTTACTATCACTTATTGCTATCTAAATTTTATTATACAGTAATTAAGATATTAAAAAATTACTGTAAAATCAGCAATTTCATTGATTTAGCTACTTTATTTTAGTTGATTTTTGATTCGTACAAAAATATTTTTTTCTAATCCAAGCCAAAAATAACATCCATAAATGTAGCAATTATTTGTGTTCAATTTTTGTCACAAAATAATTATTTCTAATTTTGATCTTTGTGAATTATCATTGAAAATGAAATGACAAAATGTTCGAATTGTTTCAAATAATTTGTGTATGGTAATCGAATATCGTAAGATGACTATCAGTAAATGATTTTATTAGGCCATCTTTTAATGATTATTCCGATCAACGAGTGATATCAGATCAACGTTCTTAAGGATTTTGATATACTTAAAAAAATTAACATATAAAAAATTTATCTACAGAAGGATTTGATTAAGTGATCAATTTTTTAGGTATAATATTTCTTTTCAAATTATAATTTTTTAAACTCATATCCTTAATTCTTGTTATAGAAGCTAATTTTGGGGAATTGGCAAAAAACAAAACAATTTTCATAATTTTTGACTAGTAAAATTTCATTAAATATTTTGTTAACATTTTATTGCAGTATTTTTAATATAAAATTACTTTGAAATATAGTAATTAATTCTACAAATAATTGAAAAATAAAGTTGAAAATGTTAGAATTTAAAATAAATTAAAAATTATTCGAAAAATGATATAATAAAAAATTTAATTCAGCAATTTTCGGAAAATTGTCAGTTGATAATTTTATTAGCTATAATAAGTGAGTCGAAATTAAAATTTATTAAAAAGTTTTGAAATAAATTAGACTCATATTAATTAATACACAAGTTAAATTTAAATAATATGAATGATGCTAAGAAATATGTGATGTTCATTATTGTATATATATACAATTATATATATACGTGTATTAGAATTATATGTATACTGTTTAATGGAAAATACTTAATTATTCGATAAATTTATGGAAAGTAACTTTTAAAATGTAATCAGTAGTGATAAGACTTGTGAAATAAATTTGACAGTAACAAAATAAGTGGCACAATGAAATTACATATGAAATTATTCAAATTTTTTAATACTAAATAAGTTTTGAATAAAAAACCAGTCTTTCAGAAGGTAGTAAATGGCAATGAATAAATATCAATCACTGCTTGGTAATATTCAACAAATGTCAACGATTTCACGCTTCTGATAAATGAACTGATGCTGAATTTCACAGATCGCAATCTATGAAAAAAGAAGGCATAACCCACTTTGAAACTTATTCATTTATATTTTGTGGTATAGTTAGCTGTTTGCACGTTTTAAGTCTTTTCTTTTTTTGGATACGTGGGTTCATTTACGTACATCTATTTGAATTAATTTTCTGTCAAATAAAATGCTTTTAACTTAAATTACTAGCATATTATTGTAAATTTTCTGGCAATTATGACTTATTTAATTTGCTATGTAAGCAAATATCACGTATTTGTCGCATAAATTGTCATAAAATTATGTTAAACAACTTTTGTACAATAAAATCGTACATCATTAAGAATTTGATGAAGTTTGAAGCAAATAGCAAAAGCTCATCAAGTTGTATTTGTCTAAATTAATTCTTGGATTTGCTAAAGTTGTAAATGAAAACTTGCAGGAATCTGAATAATACGATTCTTCATTACTAATAATTTTTGCATAGCTGAAAGTAAGGGAAAAAATTTCAAACTTTGATTCCGAATAGTTTTTGTATTTGTATTTTGATTTCTTTGTGATAGCATCAATTTAATGTTAGCAAATCACTAAATTGATGGAAAATAAATTTTAAATTCATTTCACGAATTTTCTGTTTATGTAAGATTTTAGTTTTTATAAGAATATTATAATAATGTGATAATTTTTTCATATCAGTGATGTCAGTGTTTGTGATTATATTTTGTTCATAAAAAATTATAAACTAGCAAAACCTGATTTCTTTTAATATTTCAAGCTCAATATTTGTTATTTATGAGACTTCTACACTTTTGCTGCAATATATTCTTTATGAATTTAGCAGAAAGTAAACGATTCACATTTGTTTTTGAAATCAAAAGTACTACATCTAGTATTTCAAAAAATTTTTAAATATTTTGAAATGAAAACTGTTTTTTAATCAAAAAAGCTTTATTCTTAATTTTAAATATTTGAAAAAATATGCAAAGGACAAAATTAAATTTTAATTATATAGTTTGTAATTTACAAATTTTTTAAAAAAATACATAGTTTGTAATTTATAAAATTTTGATAACAATAAATTATACGTTACATTAATTTATCCTTTTACTGCTTTTTTAAAATGCAAACTTTAGTAAAATTAATTTAATTTGAAAATTTACGCGAAAAGCAAACTTTTGAATTTAACAATTTTGAAAATTATTAGTGAATTTTAATCTAACTTTTATTTAGATTTCTTAAAAGATGAAAGCTTCTACGAACTTGAATTTACTAAAGTCGAAATTAAATTTAAACAATGTGAATTAAAAAAATTGGTAATGAATTTTATTCTGAATCAATCCACTCATTTAATAAAAGGTTTGTTGCACAAAAAAGCAAAGATAAATAATTTAAATGAATAAATGAATCTCAGTAAACAAAGTATAATGCTTAGCAAATTATTCTTAATATCAAAATTCACTAGAAATTTTGCAAAATATTCAAATTTATCACCTTTATTTGCTGATACTTTAAAAACGTTTATCACTACTTGATAGATCTGCAGTAATATCAACATTTTCATCACTGCCAGAGCTTTCAAAAATTGATAATAACGAAAAAAATTGGTTCAAAGTGATAAACGTCAAAATTATTGCAGGAACAGCATGAAATGTTAATCGCACTTGCTGGACTTATTTCAGTCTTGTTACTTTCAAGAAACTTTGCTAAGAGTCAATTAATTTGCAGCAATGAAATTGTTCGGTAAGTCAATATTTCAATTAATAAGAGAGGTCAAATTTGTAAGACAAATTTTAAAACATTTCTTGAAAAAGGTCAAAAACAATTATTAAAGTTTTTTGCAGTTTTTTTAACCTAATATTTGTTTATTACTTTTCAAATTAAATTATGGTGTATTAATTCAAAAACGCGTCTGTTTTTAAAAGATTACATATATATATATGTATATGTTATAAGCAACAAAATTTTTAAATAATTGTTAACATAACAAATATCTGTAAATCTGCGATGTAATTACTTAATAACTACTGGACAGAGAATGGTCATAAAATTGATCTTTAATATTGTAAGTTAATCTCAAAAATGGTTACTTTATGATTATGGGAATGTACAACTACATGATAGACAAATTATTAAAAGGGACATAGAAATTTTCGCTGTGAACTTTTAAAAAAAGTGAACTTTTAAAAAAAGTTCAATTTGCTTCCAATTCATTAACCTTTGACAAGCCTGTAAAAGTTAAATTCTTAGTTTACTGCGCAATATAATTTATTACCAAATTAAGTTAGTCAATTTTTCAATCATCAAATCTTATTCGATTGACGTGAAAACTTTGTACTGTATTAATTGTATGCATTTCAGCTTAAATGAAAAACGAGTTTGTTTTGATCTTGAGAAAGGTCAGTTCATTAATACAGAAACGAGTAAAAATACCATTTACGATGTGGAAGTAAATTTGAAGCAGAATGAGATTTTCTTGGGTAAAAGAAGAAAAAAACGTATGTTGTTTATTATTTTTTGATTTTAATAAATTCAAGCATAAAACACGTAACTTGTAAATTTTTGCTCACGTGAGATAACAGTTATCATAAAACTTAAGTCTTGTCAAAGGTCAATTTTATTTCTTTAAAAAATTTTTTCATTGTTTGTTTAAGCTTTTTGCATTTTCAAAACTACATATTAACTTATACTTTTTAATTATTAATTTTGTTACAATTTTATTGCAATAAATAAAAGAATAAAAACATTTCTTACTAATCAAACCTTGAAAATTTTTTTGAAAATAGATAAAAATCAAGAAAAATGAATGTTTTTGGTGCAATTTTCTTGTCCAGTCAGAAAAATTTTGCATTATTTCAATAATTCTTTCTAAAAAGTTTTAGATAATAATCTTAACTTCTGCCTTCTGTCTTTTTTTGCTTTCTTTTAGTCTCAAAATTTAATTCAAAATAAAATTTCTCCCCAGAAAATTAACATTTTTTAACTACCAAAAAAATAAAAATCTTTTTCTAATAGTTTTATTTTTATTTCAAACTGTCATGATTGCATGTTATATCAAGAATCTAATTGCTAAAATCATTGAAGCTTATCGATTGACGTGAAAACTTATTTTTTATTTTTAGCTAATTTTGACTCTCAACTACTCATGCTATTTTAATAGTCAAAATATTATATACACGTTTTTTAAATTATTTGAAACAACTTTTGAAATGCGCAATGATTTAAAAATTTTCATATCATGGTGAATATTATAGATGTAATAGTTTTTACGAAGATTTATAAAACAATTTTTTTGTAATTTGTTAAAATGAGATTTCAAATTGACCGGTGCTATTTATAAAGATTAATAATATTGAATATGTATTCAGCATTACGTAATTACATTAGTATTAACCAATATATAAAAATTTTGAAGCTTTGCTAAACTTTTTACAAGAATTTTTTCTTTTGAAAATTACATCGTACGTGACTTTCATATGCGTAAATTCCATAACACATTTTCTTGCAATATTCGTAAATTCTCAAATATTCAGATACTTCAGATGCTCGTAAATTTTCAGCACATGCATGTCGAGGATATAATTTCTATCGCCGATGTCAAAAAAAATACGTGAGAAATTTAGAAAGATTACAGTGTCGCTACGCCAGATGCACTGTTTGCATAGCTAAACACTTATATCCAAACTGCCCTTTTTGTCACATGGATAGTAAGTTATTATGCGCGCCGTCTATAACTTAACACGTTTTCACGTGTATTTGACGTTGCCTATTTTACTACGAAACGTGTTAAATTCCTTATTATTCTGGTAATTAATATGACTTATTGAAAAAGAATCAAATTTTCTCATATTAATAAGCTCGAGTAATTAACATTTAAAATTATTTCTAAAAAATGCTACTCGAATTAAATTATTACGTATTTGCAGATTCAAAGCTAAAACAGCAGCCTAAAAAATTGAAAACATTTTTGTTTTTTGGTTTTTGAGCTTAAAAAGAAAAATGGAAGCATCTCATTTCTTGATTTCACTTCAATTGTACAAATTGGTCATAGTTTTTCGGAGATGCAATCAAATATTTGTTAGCAATCTGTTTGATTTCTTTTACAGAGATAGTTTTTTGTCCAGCCGTAGAAACGTGTTCGTGTCCTTGGAAAGCAGGTCACGGTATTTGGGATTCTTGTAGACGAGAGATTAGTGGCAGATGCTTCGGTATTTTTAGATTTATAGTTCAATTTCATTCCAGTTTTTTGATTTTTAGGTTCAAATAAGTAAATTGTTAAATTATTATTATGTAGATTTTGATTGACTAAAATTTTTTAATAAAAACTATTTGATTTTTAAAAAATTTGATACCTTATTTTTTTCAATGGCAAATGAACTTTGTCATAGAAAAAATAAAGTTACTGTATTACGAAAAAATAAAGTTACTGTATTACTCTGTTTTTTCTTTCTTACTTTTAAATGTTGTTAGCATATTTTGGCATTGCAGATGTCAATGCAACAAAATTAGGGAAAAATAAGAAAAAAGGTCAAAGGCAAAGCCAATTCAACAATTGAAAGTGACGAATAAAAAGTATTCTTAATTATTCAACTATATCAGCCTGTTGTATGTCCTTTTTTTGTTTTATTATGATTTTCAGGCTTTTTATTACAATAACTTTGTTATGCAATAATAATATATGAAAGCTTTATTTGACTTTTAGTTATGTGCTTTAATGAAAAATGCTTCAAAAAGTTGGAATAATTACTAAAAGTTCGAACATTGATGAGATTAATTCAACTATGCCAACTTTTCAATAATGAAAAAATAATTGTTTGAATACAAAATAATGGTCATAATATTATCATTTCTATTTCTGTACAATATGAATTAAAAGATTTATGCAAATTTTATTGATTGTGATGGTTAAAAGTAAAAGTATAAAAGATTCAAATTTCCTGAAATGTCAAACATTACAAAGTTTTGCTTCAAAATTAAAATGCTCAATTCAACTTTACCAACACCACCAATGGATGAATTGTGCGACTGGAAACGAGGTATACTTAAGTTCCAATTGACTTCAGGTCTGAAAATTCAGAAAGTGTGAAAGATTGTATTTCTATTTCAGATTGAGTTTTATCTAAAGCAAGTTAACAGTTACTTATATTTATTACATTTTAAAATATTATTCAAAAGCAGTTCAGAGATGAATTTTTGAATTTTTTGTAGGTAAGTTTTTTCAATTTTCGTACAATAATTACAGTATTTCTGATTTTTTTAAATTATCATACAGTGGCATTCTTCAAAAAGTAACCTATTATAACCTATTATATAACACAGTCCAATTAAACTTCGAAACAAACAAATAATTTAATTAAAATTAAAATTTAATAAAATTTCACTTAAGTAGTAAACTTTCAACTATACTAGAATGTATATTTAAAGGATAAAAAATACATTTATTAAATTTAGACAGTAAAAATGAAAAAATGTCAAGGTGTGGTTTTCGTGCTTGCTTGAATAAAGCTGCTGTTGGACAAAAAAATGTTCATAATCATATTTACAAATTAAGAGGTTGGACTCGATTTGACTGGATCATTTCTTTACAGGTAATATTAATTTAAAAATTATTCAAATTAAATTAGATCGCACATAATCAATTTTAGTCCTATCAAAACTGATTTTAGCTTATTTTACAACATGTTTAGGCTATGCTTATCACAATTTATGTACTTAGTGCATTAGCAGTAAGTGCTATTGGATATTTAAATCCTTGGCCAATGTTTCTTCTTGCTATTTTTTTATTCATTCCAATTTTGCCTATGTTATTCGCAACTTGGTATGAAGGTAATAATTATAGCAATTAAAAAACTTTGTAAGCATTTATTTTTATAAAAAAATTTGACAATTTTTTAGATTTCTATTAATAATAAATAAAAATCGGTGTAAAAGTATAATAATTTTGACATAATTTATGGAATTTTAAAGTTATTTCATATCAATTTTTATATTACAATCTAAGATAGAATTGCACATAAGTTAAGAGACTCAAGGTTAAGTATAGATTAAATTATAATAATTTTGATTCAGTTACTGAAATTCCTGAAATTATTTAAAATAATTTGCAGAAAGTTTCAAAGTTTTTGGTTGTATGCAGTTGCTTTGTAGTTTTGTTGAATTGTTTTGGTCAAGTTATATTTTACTCGATATGAAGTATCATGACAATGATTGGCGTGCATATTTTACTATGTTTAATGTTTTTTGGCAGGTAATCAAATATGAATATTAATTAAAAAATTATTTTAATTAAATTAAATTGCACATAATCAAATTACTTTTTTTGGCATGAATTTATTCTATCATATTTAACTAATTATAATTATTTGCATGCATAATTGCTAATGACATAAAAAGTAATGCAAAATATTTTAAAAAATTAATAATATTTTTTATTTAGATTCTTTTTTTAGTTTGCATCGATGATTATAATAACAATAAAATGTAGGTCATTAAAAAAAAACAACAATAATGATGAAAAAAATGGACAATGTCGCATAACTATGACAAGTCCTGAACCTGGTCAGCTTTCACGCATTTTTGCTTCACTCACTTTATAGTATATTCAATTTTTTTAATCCAAAAGAATATTTTTTTAAATAAAAATATAATTTTTTGTAAAATTGTAAAAAAATTAATATATAAAATTCATTTTAGCATGTGTTAGTATTGCTCCACATAATAATTTAAACACCACAAAACTTTGTTCAATATTAAATCTTGAAAGACAACGAATTAATGAACGGAAAAAGCGGCGAATTGATAGGTAAAGTATGAAAATTTTTATTTTTTGCCTAAACTTATAATAAGCATAGCTTAAGTCAAAAATTAAGTTTCAAATAAATACTATCAATTTAAGGTTGAAAAGTACTGGAAAAGAAAATCCACCCAAGGAATCAAAAAAGAACTCAATAAAAAGTAATTTATTTCCAGTAATGTTTTTAAAATTGCAAAAATAGACTTTTTGGTTGAAAATTTATTCTAAAACAAATGCTTTTAATAAGCAAAAATGTTTTGTGTTGGGATTAAAGAAAAGTTTAGGTCACGCAAATAATGAAACTATATCCGATCTGCAAACTGCCAAAGAAAAAAGCGATGTATGTTTATTTTTTTTATTTTATTATTTTTTGCAGATTTTAAATTAAAATTTTTATTAATAAAAACTATAATTTTTTTTACTAAAAAATTTCATACGTCAAATTTCAGCAAAAGGAAACAAAGATAACAATGCAAGACGAGAAGGATTCTACTATTTTTGATAGGTTAATTTTTTGATTTTTAATTCTGAAATGATCAGTAATAATTTAATTAAAGTATTATATGAATTGAATTGACTAATATGGTTATTTTACTAGTATGCTTTACTGGTTTGATTATTTAAACTTAGGAAGTTAAGATTAACACTTCTGTTTTGCTAATTGTGGTAATGCTAAGTAAGCAACAATATCTAAAAGTTTTGCATAATTTTTAATTTCTGATATTGAATTATGATTTTAATTATTAAAATGAGTAAATATTTATTTTATTTAAAGCGGTTTGCTATATTTTACTCATTAATCTTTCTTCTAAAAATATTTCATTTTAATTAGCTTCACACTCAAGCATAACTGATTATTGAAAATTTTTGGATTGTATGAAACATTAAAATTACGATCAGCTCATTATATATTTGATTATCTTAAATTTGAAGTATCAAATCAACACTTTGTGATTGAGTTCTTAGAGCTTTCATTTTCTGAGACATTTGATTGATATACTTACATTTAACTAATTTAAAAATTATTTTCAACTTTGTATTTTTCATTGATTATAAAAGTAATTAGTGGTTATGTTATTCTTAGTATTTTCTATTATACTATTTATAGTTCGGATATCGAAAATGGAAAAGTTTTGCCAATCAAAAGGATATGAAAGAAAATGCAGTGAATAAATTGATAGTTTCACGCAGCGCAAGCCTTTCTTGAGATATGATCCAGTAATTATTTGAATATAAAACAAAAATTTGCATAAAATATTTTATAGTGAATTTAGTGGCAAAAATTTAACTGATTTCTTGAAGGGAAAAAATAAAAAATGAAATTTAAGATTTTTTAATTTTTCTGTTACAAAAAAATTACCGTGTGTTACTACTGAATCACTGTAATTTCAAATACTATCAATTCACATTTGTGATTACTTTTTTCTTATAATCTGGAATTTTTATTGCTTTAATTTGAACTTAAAAAGTCATTCTCATTCATTAGTTATTAATTTGAGTTCAAAAGATTAAGTATCATTATATTTGATTATGAATGAAGTCGATCATTTAATTGCAACACTTATATTCACTGACGTCAAAAGCATTCAACGTTTAAAATGCCGTGAATCGACTTTTATGGCTGATGATTTTCTATCAAACTTATTTCTATATCATGGATGTAGTAATAGAGCAAAGCAAAACATCGAAAAGCTCAGATCGGAAACACGCGCCACACACATAATTTAAGCTAAAAATAAATGTCTATACAGTCGAAAGCAGTCATGATATCTAAAGTCTTGATCGTGTATATCAATCAAATATGATTTCTCATAAATGTACAGTATTGTGTGATAACCATATTATACAATATTATACATACATGAAACTGGGGCTACAAATGCTCTATTGTTTGCTTTACATTTGTTACAGAGATCAAAGTTTAAATGCCATTTTCGAAAGAAAAATTGCATCTTAATTTTCTGGAATAATTTGATACACACTGATAATATTAGATTGAAAACTAATATTGTATAGCTCGAAAGAC